GTGAATTATCCTCAATGATATCTCTTTGTCGCCGCACTTTGAACCATTTTTAGCTAAAAAGAACATATGAGTTAGGATTCAATCAGCTATTTCCCGGAAGTAATTTAATGATGCTGTCTATGCTTTGTCACAGTGCGTGGAACAATAAAGACTGTCTGACCTTCGAAGCCGCTGACATTGTTTTGCGTTCACCGGCGTCCAGGTCATCAAGAATGTGTCCGCTAGCTGGTTTCCGGCCGCCATGGCCACCGCGGCGAGGGAAGTGGGTGTGTGTGCGAGTGCGAGTGCGTGTGCGTTGTCAGGGGGTCCTCGCCACCGCTCGCCGCACGTGTAACCACTCTGTGGTCTGCTGCTGTGCTCCTGTCCGCTCTACCTCTGATGGATGTCGCGTGCGGCGTCCGCGGCGTCCGCTGCGGCAGACGGCCAGCTAATACTGTAATGGCGGTGTCTGCCGCGGTCGGCGGCTTGGCGGCTGTAGCGGGGGAGTCGGCGTGTTCAAGGACCTGCACAAAGCGTGACCGCCGCAGCGCTCACGGATAGGTGTCGTGTCCGCGCCCCAGCGAAGGGCCCGCTCTGGAAGCTAGTGCTGTAGCAGCGCTGTTGAGACGTAAAACCGCAGTGGCGCAGCTGCACCTGTGAAGCATCTGCCGTTCGAGGATCGGAAGCTCGATCTTCTGCTTGAGAGGTGTCCAGTTCACAGTTGGCTGGTGCAGGGCGCAGCCGATTGGTCTGGTGTATTGCGCACCGTCCGGTGGGTTTGGGAGCACTGGCCGGAACTGAGCGCTGGCTTCTCTCCTGTCTGGAATGCCAGGCAGTTTAAACAAATCCCGCAGCCGTCCCCGTTCAATGGTTAACGTTGGACTACAGGCACGCTGTCCGTCCATTATGCCTCATTGTGTCGGGTCGGGGGAGCTAAATCTGTAATGATTTTTGGGCTGCGGTGGCACGGCGCTGACGCTGGGTGCACCAGCTGTCTGAGTGCTTGTGGAAGTTTGACAGTTTGGCTGGTGTTGTGACTGGTGGGGCAGTCTGACCTTGATGCCGTCACGTGGTATTGGGCGAGGTCAAACGATCGTCAGCCGGCCAGGCAGTCATGACATAGCTCTCCACGCGTTGTCAGATCGGCCGCCTGTCTGGACCGCAAAACAGCCTGAGGCACGTGCCCCAGCTGTCTCGGCGTGGGTTTGTCTGGCGGCTATCCGGTCAGCCAGACATCAGTGGCCCAGCAGTCTCCGCGTGGTCCTGTCTGGCGGCTGTGCGGCCAGCCAGACATCAGTGACCCAGCTGTATCCGCGTGGTCTTGCCTGGCCAGCTGTCTGCCGCCCCTGGCGTAGGTTGACCGCCGGCCGGGGTCGGGGCGTGTCAGGCCGTTATCTGGCCAGCGCCGCGATACAGATAGTGGCGCGGCCGGCCGAGCCGACTCAGCTGGCGGCGCAGTGGTGCGGCGAGCTGCGCGGCGGAGGGGAGCGGGAGGACACCACCTGCGCCAGCCGGTGGGGCCGGATCATCTCCGCTCTGGGCCGGGCTACACGTGCCCACGCTGGACCGCACTTGTCAGCAGACGTCCAGCTGAAGTGCTGAGTGCTGACGCGCCGTCCCCTCGCGGATCGCGCCGACTGCGCCAGCTGCGGCGGCGCCTCAGTCCGTCACGTGAGCATGGCAGAGCCCGATCCGCGCAGCCGGCCGGCCGCCGCCCGACCGCGTCTGTTCCGCGAGACCCTGGCGGTGGTCGGCCGAACCCGAGACCAGGACCGTGGCCGGGACCAGGACCAGGACCAAGACCAAGACCGTGACCAGGACCAGGCTGTGGACCAGGACCAGGAACAGGCTGCGGACCTGGGCGGGGAGAGTCGGCAGGGGTCCGCGCCTGGAGAGGCGGGGCACGTGACCGGCGAGCGCCAGCTGGGCGTGGTCAGCGTGCCGCTGCAGCGTGTGCCCCGGCCCTGGAGCCGTCGGCGGGCCGGCGCCAGCCTCGAGCACCTGATCACCAAGTTCAGCGGAGCGCCGGAGCCGCGGCCGGCGCCGCCTGCCTGGTCCGAGCTGGCCCGGGAGGAGCTGGCGCCGGAGCAGGTCTGGCGAGCCCGGGAGGAGCCGGCGACGGAGCAACAGAGTCGCTCTGCCTCCGCTGCTGGGACCCGCCGACGGTCGGCAGAGGATGGGCCACGCAAATGTTCAATGGAGGATCGCCCGCATTCGACAGAGAGTCGGCTGTCCTCAGTGAAGACTTATGTGCCTCCGGCAGAGGCTCGTCCCCGTCCGTCGGAGGCTCGTCTCCGCCCGGTAACGGCCTATCTCCCTCCAGTGGAGGCTCGGCTCCCTCCAGCGGAGCCTCGTCCCCCTACAGACAAGGCTGGTGACCTTTTGTCTGAGTCTGCGGGAGGGGAGTGCCGCCGTTGGCCGTCGAGGCGCCGCCTCCCTCTGGCGGAGCGGCCTGCGGTGGCGCCCACCGGCCGCGCCGAGCGGGCGCGGATGGATCGGACCGCCGCCGCCGGGGGAGACCGGGGCCGGCGGCCGCCACGCGCCGCCACAGTCGACCGCGCTGTCCCGGTGGGTGCATCTTCGCGGCGCTGCTTATCCAAGGACTTCAAAACAACCGAGACCTTGAGACCGAGGTCGGGTTTCTCCTCTGATTAGGACCTTACAGTTATGTGGGAGGATAAACAGACGCTAAACTCGTCGGAGACCAGTCGGTCCCGCCAGTCTTTTCTGAGATTTCAGCGACATCGTTGGCTGAGCCAGTAGGTCGCATGGATCAACTGCGCCCTACAGAGATGAGCATTTCTAGGCGCTGGCATACGTGACACTGCTGGCGATGGTCCCACGTGAAGCGGGATGAATATCCCGCCCTCCAGATAACTTGAAGGTATTTTGGTACGTGACCTTGCATTAAAGGATGTCCTAAAAACCATCAGTTTCGTCTCAATTAGCGAATGACCTCTGTCGCCCCTTTGAATGGCCTCCCTCGCCTCTTGTTAGAGACCAATTATAATGGACCATGGCCTTCGCTGTGACGTAGCGAAGCCTTGTGTTAACTGCGAGGTTCAAATGCCCACGTACTGTAACTTGCTCCAGACCAGTGAACTGAACGGAAGAGCAACAGGTTCCATTCTGGCGCCTGGTCACGACCATCAGCCAGCCCGTCGCGTTTCTGCACACCGACATTTTTAGATCCCACGCAGATATTTCCTGTGCCAGGTGTTCAAAGCTGCTACAAATGCGCCATTGTCTGCATTTGGTTCCTGGGTCGTTATCTGAGGGGCAGCTGCAGTTGTGATGAAGCCAGGTTGTGTTCGTGGTTCGACTGGTCATGGCCGTTTGGCGCAGGGTTAAGGGTGGGATGCCAAAAGTGGTCGCGATCACTGTGTGCGTAATAAGGCGCAAGCCAGTAGAGCCCGCTGCTTTATGAACCCTTTCGGAGGTGGGAGCGGTGAGCTGATGGTTTGGTGTCCGCGCACAGATTCGCAACAACAAACAGCGTAACTTGAAAATTCCGCTGCCTGTTTGTCTGGCCTGGCCTGGCATAAATGGTCGACGAAATCGATGAATTTCCAATCATTCTCAGTTCTGGTGAGGACGGCCACAGGGTTGGGAAATACGCAAACATTTATGTTGGATATTGGGCACCACGGTCTGTGCTGGACGCCCGTCTTGTTTGCATGGCGCAATCTGTCCCGGTATAGGTCACGCTAGTGCTCGGGATTGGTTTGGGAAAAGGAGGCGTTACCCGCTTTCCGGTTGACCGCGGGAGCACTGATGGCGCGGACATGTTCGGGGTGTGTCACTCAGTTGGAGCCGGCACATTGGCCTAGCCTTGCAAGTGGTTGCACGTCTTCAGATTTACTATTGGATTGCTGTGATCGGACCTAGGTCCCAAAAAGGCTCCAGAACAGGCAGACCCATGTTTGGCGCTCGGTGCTGCGCAGGGGCCCGCGCCACCCACCCACACATTCACCGCTACGTTTGGCTATGTTTTCCTCGTCATTAGATGTTATCAGGTAACGATGATGTGTGGTTGCAGAGATGCGGCCCTCTCCCTGACCTGCATTCAGCTTTTATTGCGATTTAAAGACTAGGTTTCCCATGTTTATGAAATAAGGCAGTGGAATTGTAAAAATGTTGCAAGTCTGCAGGAATGTGCCGCCTGGTCTAGCACGTTGTATTTAGATGTCTTCAAAATACTGAATTAGATCGTAGGAAGTATTATCCTACCTGTTGCTAAAATTTCACGGCAGTGCGATCTGCGGCTACAAAGGTAATCCCGTCGAGAGCGTTACTGACCGAACCAGCTAGTTGAATCCACACAATTGCTGATTAATTCACGCTATCGAGGCCCGTTTTCATATATTTTTGAATGTATCTGCGTTGCTTTTGTGGAGGCATGGGTGGCGTGCGATTCCAACGTCGCAGCGTCGGAGCCGCTGTGCCGTGCTGGCGCTGTCCCCCCGCTCTGAGGCCCGTCGCGCTGCGTATGCTGCACGGCCAGACCCGTATTTTTGCGGCCGTTCTCGCGCTACGACGCACTGAGCTCATTGCCGGGCGTTAGAGCTTTCGGACCTTGCACAATACGGGCGAGATCGTGATCACCGCCTGACTCCTGTGCAGCAGCCAAATGATCGTGCCGGCAGACCAGGCTCGATGCTTTCAGGAGCAATACATATCGTTATATTTCGTGTATGAAGGGTGGTCTTAGAATAGAAGCAAAGGTGACATGGAAATTGGCCTAAACGCCCAGTGAAGTCCAAAGGATGAAAACGTTTACAATAAGTTTAGAATAGGCCAGATAGTATAATAGGTAAAACTGACACAGTAAGCTACTATGGTGGGTATTGCGCCCTAGTGCACGTGGTGATCTAAGAGTATCCAACATGCAACGACGTAGGTACTTGAGAGTAGCGGGTTATGTTACTTCGTAGTGTATCAAGTATGGTAATCGATATTGACCTGATTTTTCACATGTTTGACCCCGTGACCCCGTGTGACCCTGCGCGTCCCTGCGGCAGATGAACGAGCGCGGCTCCGGTCTGCGGCCGCGCGGCACCGTGCAGGACTTTGACAAGCTGCGCAGCGAGGCGCTCCGCTCCGGCCAGATGTTCGAGGACCCCGAGTTCACCGCCGAGGACTGCTCCATCTTCTTCTCCCGCTCGCCGCCGCGCCCCTTCGACTGGCTCAGGCCCAGCGTGAGTGCGCCGCCACGTAACGGCCGTGTCGCGGGCCCGTCACGGTCTTGGTACTGTCCTATCGCGGCGTTGTATCACTCCCGTCACGGTCTCGGTACTGTCCTATCGCGGCGTTGTATCACTCCCGTCACGGTCTCGGTACTGTCTTATCGCGGCGTTGTATCACTCCCGTCACGGTCTCGGTACTGTCCTATCGCGGCGTTGTATCACTCCCGTCACGGTCTCGGTACTGTCTTATCGCGGCTTTGTATCACTCCCGTCACGGTCTCGGTACTGTCTGATCGCGGCGTTGTATCACTCCCGTCACGGTCTCGGTACTGTCTTATCGCGGCTTTGTATCACTCCCGTCACGGTCTCGGTACTGTCTGATCGCGGCGTTGTATCACTCCCGTCACGGTCTCGGTACTGTCTTATCGCGGCGTTGTATCACTCCCGTCACGGTCTCGGTGCCATCTGGTCGCGGCGTTGTATCACTCCCGTCACGGTCTCGGTGCCATCTGGTCGCGGTGTTGTATCACTCCCGTCACGGTCTCGGTGACGTCTGATCGCCGTCACGGTTGTTTCAAGGTCATGGGTTAGAAGAAGATGCCGCTGCAGATTAGACAGATCGGTCCGCTGATTGGTTAAGTTAGAGGCTCGTCTCGCTGACCTTGTCATGTGCTGTTTTGCTGGAACAGGTTTACGTTCCCAGCGTGATCGCTGTTAAGCGAAGCAAAATTACTTGGACAAAAATTATCCAACGATTTTATTTATGTGAGACTGGCGTTAGACGGCTATTTGACGCGCCTGACGTCCGTGCCTTTCCCAACAGGAAATAGTGCGCAGCCCCCAGTTCATCTCCAAGGATGCGTCCCGCTTCGATGTGCAGCAGGGAGAGCTGGGTACGTCGCCACAGTTGCTGTGATGATTAAAACATATGACCACCGCAGTCGGCGCGCCCCTAAACTCCAATAAACAACAACAACAAATTGTAGCCATTTTGAGACGCATTTAGCAGAAATAATGTTAATCGCCAAGCGGTTCACGCAGTGCGGGGTCTTATGGGTTCAATTCAAGTTTTGGGTGGGCCTTATTATTGTGAAAGGCTATTATTCATGGTTTGGTTTGTGCTTGGAAGCCAGCTGCCACGCCCTCGGTCCATTGACGGTACCAGCCCGGACCCGGGTCCGGATCCGGATCCCTGTCCCTGGTTTGGGAGCTGCTCCCGGGACGTAACATCGGTCTGGGATCATGTCCAGCTTGGAGCCTGCCCCCACGTCCGTGCTGGCTTGGCGTGACGGTGTGACCTCGCCGCGTGACCTGACCTGACCGGCGTGTCGGGTCTGCGTGTTCTCCGGTTCACCGGCCGCTGAGCCTGCCCCCACGTCCGTGCTGGCTTGGCGTGACGGTGTGACCTCGCCGCGTGACCTGACCTGACCGGCGTCGACCTCAGGCGACTGCTGGCTGCTGGCGGCTGTGGCCAACCTGACCCTCAACGGCGACCTATTCGCCCAGATCGTCCCGGACAACCAGAGCTTCGACGACCAGTACGCCGGCATCTTCCACTTCCGGTAGGTGGTGACGACCTCGGACGGCTGCCGCTGGCGAGGCGATGCCGTTGGTCCAGGACTGGCGCGGGCGATATTACAATATGAACGCCGTGCGATGTGTTGCTCCACGTCGCGCCCACACCGGCTCGTCACCGTCGTTTGGCGTAGTGCGTTTTATTCGGGCCGGCACGCTGCATGTCGGAGTAATGTGACATAACTGTTGTGTCCTACTGAAGCGTTGATTGGTAAGTATGCCGATGTGGTTATTTTACGTCAGTTTTGTGGTTTGTTTTGGTCGCTAGTCACGAGTTCTCCAATCTGATGTTGTAATTGTTATCGTCTGTTTCTCTTGAGACCGTCTGCTTTACATCAGCTTGCCTGTAAAACAACCTACGCATTCTCCTCCAACGGCCTGTCAGTTTTTGTTTAGCTCCGCGTCGGCTGTGAAGAGGTCGTGATGGCCTGCGAACGTCCTTCAGTGTGTATTATGTAGTTCTTTCGTCTTTGTGGAAGTGGAGCTCGACTGAAATAGAAGGATTATTATTCGGCGCTTGACGTATTCAGGTTGATTTAAGTGATAAACTCGTAGATAGTAGTTATGTAGCTGTTGTGTCCCCGTCCGCTGTCGGATTCTGGCAGTACAGCTGCTGGTTGAAGATGGCCACTGCGTACCGCTCCCTTTGCCGCCGGTCGCCATGTTCTGCCAGTACGGCCACTGGGTGAAGATGGCCACTGTGTGACACTCCCTTTGCCACCGGTCGCCATGTTCTGCCAGTACGGCCACTGGGTGAAGATGGCCACTGTGTGACGCTCCCTTTGCCGCCGGTCGCCATGTTCTGCCAGTACGGCCACTGGGTGAAGATGGCCACTGTGTGACGCTCCATTTGCCACCGGTCGCCATGTTCTGCCAGTACGGCCACTGGGTGAAGATGGCCACTGTGTGACGCCTCCTTTGCCACCGGTCGCCAGGTTCTGGCAATACGGCCGCTGGGTGGACGTGGTCGTCGATGACCGGCTACCCACCTACAATGGCCAGCTGGTGTTCATGCACTCCGAGGACAACAACGAGTTCTGGTCGGCCCTGCTCGAGAAGGCCTATGCCAAGTGAGGACTGGTCAAATGACCGACATGTTCGTGGATTGTTTTCATATTAAGACGTGCTCGTGTGGACAAACTGTTGGCAAATGCTAGCCGTTAAATTTGCTGTGAGAGCTGGCGTTTCATATTAGAGTGAAGATATGCTCAGTCGAGTATGCTCTGCTCTGAATCCGACATTGTTGCTTTGAACGAGGTGAGTTTGACATTGACCGATCTCTAGCGTTAAGAAAGCGGTCACACAGTTTCGAAATGTGTATTTTAATTAGCGTTTACCTCAAATGAGAACAGCTGAGATACCAGAAAATGTTCACATATCTGCTGCGCTCAATGCCAAACCATGCGAGACTGCAAGGTCAGAAGGTCTCAAAGAAGGCTAACTTAAGTGTGGAATTATTCCATGCTGCAATGCAATTTCAACAGTGAATACATTGCCATTGTCGGCACGAGGTACGGTCTGACGTCACCGATAACCACACAGTGTCGCGGGCATAAGGTCCAAAGGCCGCTCAGTGCAACGGACTTCAGGTCCAAAGGCCGCTCAGTGCAACGGACTTCAGGTCCAAAGGCCGCTCAGTGCAACGGACTTCAGGTCCAAAGGCCGCTCAGTGCAACGGACTTAAGGTCCAAAGGCCGCTCAGTGCAACGGACTTAAGGTCCAAAGGCCGCTCAGTGCAACGGACTTAAGGTCCAAAGGCCGCTCAGTGCAACGGGCTTAGGGTCCAAAGTCTCAGTCACGGTCACTGTGATCACAGGGAAAACTGCACAGGTATGTCCACATCATCAGATAACCGTGGCAGTTAGTTTTCGTAAACGCGAAGCGATGAACGTTTGATGTTCGTTATTGTGTGTCTCGCCGATATTTACTGCGGTTGATTTGTGGTGGTGCTACTGTGGAACACCTGGGGCAGAATATTTTGTGTCTTGACATCATCGGACAGGTACAATCCAATGTATTGCGTGCTATAGAAAAGCAGCGTCCCGGCTGGGCCGCTCCCCCTCTCTACCCAAGTTTTTCTGGCTGATCCGTCCAAAAAAGTCAGTAAAAATAGCAGCCGGAGACACTTGTGTTGCTGAAAATGGCTCGTGATCTTCGCCCGCCTCCACCCCTCCCCTCACATGTGTTCCGTTGGACAGATGCGCAGCTCCAGGTTTTTTACATGCTCCGTCCACATCATCTGGGACCGCAAAATGGGTTCGATTTATTATAATGCTCTAACTTCTTGGACCTATTTGGCTTCCTAAAAAATATAGACGAAAATACAGTCTGTAGCACTATAATTTCAATAAGATATTGTTTGACGCAAGGCCTTCCACGACTGTATGCGCACTCATTCAGCTGTCTTTAGTGATCTCTCTCGCCCAAAATTATTGAAAGCGGGCAAACGTGTCCGTGCTGTGGTCCATGCTGTCGGCTGCGACGCTGTGCCAGACCAGCAACACTGCACGGGGCTTGGTACTGCGCTCCCAGTGGCTGATGTCTGCCATAACAGAGGCTGAACCCTGACGTAAACCTGTAGCAGACTTTTTCAGATTCCAAGCGGTGTGTTGGCGCCGTTGGCCGTAGCCCCGGTGCCGCTGACAGAGCTGGTCCCCCGAACCCATGCTGTCTGCCCTCCGTCCCGTTGGTGCCGTCGCCTCCAGCCCCGGTGCCGCTGACAGAGCTGGTCCCCTGAACCATGCTGTCTGCCCTCCGTCCCGTTGGTGCCGTCGCCTCCAGCCCCGGTGCCGCTGACAGAGCTGGTCCCCCGAACCCATGCTGTCTGCCCTCCGTCCCGTTGGTGCCGTCGGCCCCCGGCCCCGGTGACACTGACAGAGCTGGTCCCCTGAGCCCCATGCTGTCTGCCCTCCGTCCCGTTGGTGCCGTCGGCCCCCGGCCCTGGTGCCGCTGGCATAGCTGGTTCCCTGAGCCCCATGCTGTCTGCCCTCCGTCCCGTTGGTGCTGTCGCCTCCAGCCCCGGTGCCGCTGACAGAGCTGGTCCCCTGAGCCCCATGCTGTCTGCCCTCCGTCCCGTTGGTGCCGTCGGCCCCCGGCCCCGGTGCCGCTGACAGCTGGTCCCCTGAACCATGCTGTCTGCCCTCCGTCCCGTTGGTGCCGTCGGCCCCCGGCCCCGGTGCCGCTGACAGAGCTGGTCCCCTGAGCCCCATGCTGTCTGCCCTCCGGTCTGTTGGTGCCGTCGGCCCCCGGCCCCGGTGCCGCTGACATAGCTGGTCCCCTGAGCCCCATGCTGTCTGCCCTCCGTCCCGTTGGTGCCGTCGCCTCCAGCCCCGGTGCCGCTGACATAGCTGGTCCCCTGAACCCCATGCTGTCTGCCCTCCGTGCCGTTGGTGCCGTCGGCCCCCGGCCCCGGTGCCGCTGACAGAGCTGGTCCCCTGAACCCCATGCTGTCTGCCCTCCGTCCCGTTGGTGCCGTCGGCCCCCGGCCCCGGTGACACTGACAGAGCTGGTCCCCTGAGCCCCATGCTGTCTGCTCTCCGGTCTGTTGGTGTCGTCGGCCCCCGGCCCCGGTGCCGCTGACAGAGCTGGTCCCCTGAACCATGCTGTCGTCTCTCCGGCTAGGCTGCACGGCTCCTACGAGGCGCTGAAGGGCGGCACCACGTGCGAGGCCATGGAGGACTTCAGCGGCGGCGTCACCGAGATGTACGACATCGACAAGGCGCCTGACAACCTGTTCCAGATCCTGCAGAAGGCCGACGAGAGAAAGTCGCTGATGGGCTGCTCCATCGAGGTGGGCACGGACCAGCGACTGACGAGGGACTCCATTTGATTGTCTGGAGACCAACCGTGAACTTTTGCAGAGTGGAAACGGGGCAACACTGATGATATTGGGCTTGACTTGTCTTCTTAATACATTTCATTGCACTGCACGACGCATGCATGTGGATGGAGCGTCTGAAATTTATCGGTAATAATTGACATTTATCGGTTATAAGTCGGCGATCCGGTCGTATGCACACGCATCTGTGCACGGCTCGCGATCCGGTCGTATGCACACGCATCTGTGCACGGCTCACGGTGCGGGCGCTGCGGCCTGTGACGGTCTGACGCCGCCTCCGCAGCCGGACCCGAACGTGCTGGAGGCCGAGCTGCCGAACGGCCTGATCCGCGGCCACGCCTACTCCATCACCAAGGTGTGCCTGGCCGACATCGAGACGCCGCGTGTCAGCGGCCAGATCCCCATGATCCGCATCCGCAACCCGTGGGGCAACGAGGCCGAGTGGAAGGGCGCCTTCTCCGACTCGTGAGTAATCACAGCAGCGGGAGCCGGAGCCGGCCTGGCCGTGCCCGCCTGGTGACGCTGGTGCATTGGCGTCGCCATTCGCTCCGTTATTGTGGCGCGAATTGGCCCGACTCAGCCGAACCGGTAAACACTGTTACCAGTCGCTTTCATTTTTACGGGGCGTTATAAGCTGATACAATCCCGTCAGTCTTGTTACGATTTAAGCAAGTTGTCATGATCGCTAGATATAAAGCATCCAAATGAATTATTTGTTGTGCCTTAAGGATCAACTTGACTGATTTTCTTTAGTATCAATTATTTTTTCTTTATTATCAATTATTGTCTGTCAAGGACAGGAGTGGAGATTGCTGGTAACAGTTAGTGGGGCAAAGTCGCAAAACGGAAACTTTCAATGATAAATCCCAAAATTGAGAATGTTCCAATTAAGCTTGACGGACCGCTGTAACGCCTGCCATACCGCGCTCTCCGCCCATGATTGCAACATCTGAAAGAAACACTGCAGGGGACGAGGTGCAAATAATGGAAATGAATGCACATATCCCCGGAGCTTGCGGTGGAGTCGCACTGTTGTCCATTGTTCCTGTGAGTTATGGACTAAACATAGCGCACACTGTCTCGCGCGGCGCCGCAGCTGGTCGCGAACCAGCCCGTTGTGAGCAGCTGTGACCACGTGGCCGTGTCTGTGTGCGTCGGCGTCTCTCCGGAGTGGCAGTACATTCCCGAGGAGTCGCGGCAACAGATCGGCCATGTCTCGCGCGGCGCCGCAGCTGGTCGCGAACCAGCCCGTTGTGAGCAGCTGTGGCCACGTGGCCGTGTCTGTGTGCGTCGGCAGCTCTCCGGAGTGGCAGTACATTCCCGAGGAGTCGCGGCAACAGATCGGCCATGTCTCGCGCGGCGCCGCAGCTGGTCGCGAACCAGCCCGTTGTGAGCAGCTGTGACCACGTGGCCGTGTCTGTGTGCGTCGGCAGCTCTCCGGAGTGGCAGTACATTCCCGAGGAGTCGCGGCAGCAGATCGGGCTGACGTTCGACGCTGACGGAGAGTTCTGGATGACCTTCAAGGACTTCCTGGGCAACTTCCAGGCGAGTGTGCGCGCTGGGCGCTCGGAGCCGATGTATGCATGTGTGCAAGCTTGCTGTTGAATAACCCAGGGCGCCGACCATCACACGGAAAACGACATGGGTAACTTAGTTCAGCCCTGTCGCGGCTGCGTGAGATGAGATAAGATTGGCGTGCTGATGGCTCTGATCGGTCGCCCGCAGCGTCTGGAGGTGTGCAACCTGAGCCCCGACAGTCTGGAGGACGACGACGAGGAGATCAAGACCAAACGCTGGGAGATGTCCGTGTTCGAGGGCGCCTGGGTGCGCGGCGCCACCGCCGGCGGCTGCAGGAACTACATCAGTAAGGCTTGTGTAGGCCTGTATCCCGCTCCGTGTCCGCTGCTCTGTTTATACTGCTTTGCCCGTCGGCAGGTTCGCGTTATATTCTTTTGCTCATGTATCCTGGCGTGTTGGATTCGACTGGTATTCACACACCTCATTATTTCTGTTGAGAATGGTGCTTTACCGTCAAAACAGTCTGTTTTTCTGTTTTGCGTCCGTCTGTTGGGGCGAACTGAGACCGTCGGTTGCAGTCAGCGCTGTGCGCGTCCTCGGACGTGCAGACCTGCACCACGGTGACTGGCTCGCCGGGGCCGCCCCTCAGTGCCCCGCTGACCCGTCCCCTGGGGCCGTCGCTCGGTGCCCCGCTGACCCGTCCCCTGGGGCCGTCGCTCGGTGCCCCGCTGACCCGTCCCCTGGGGCCGTCGCTCGGTGCCCCGCTGACCCGTCCCCTGGGGCCGCCGCTCGGTGCCCCGCTGACCCGCGCTGGCCCGTCCCCGTGGGCCGCCGCTCGGTGCCTCGCTGACCCGCGCTGGCCCGTCCCCGGGGCCGCCGCGGGTCCCGCTGGACCCCGCGCCAGTCCCCTGGCGCTGCCGCCCGGGCCGCTGACCGCGCTGCCCGTCCCTGGGTCGTGCCCGTCCGCTGACCCGCTGGCCCTCCCCGGGGGCCGCCGCTCGGTGCCGCTGACCCCGCTGCCCGCCCCTGGGGCCGTCGCTCGGTGCCCCGCTGACCCGCGCTGGCCCGTCCCCGGGGGCCGCCGCTCGGTGCCCCGCTGACCTGCGCTGACCCGTCCCCGGGGGCCGCCGCTCGGTGCCCCGCTGACCCGCGCTGGCCCGTCCCCTGGGGCCGCCGCTTCGGTGCCCCCGCTGACCCCGCGCTGGCCGTCCCCCGGGGGCCCGTCTCCGTCGCCCCGCTGACCCGCGCTGGCCCGTCCCCTGGGGCCGCCGCTCGGTGCCCCGCTGACCCGCGCTGGCCCGTCCCCTGGGGCCGCCGCTCGGTGCCCCGCTGACCCGCGCTGACCCGTCCCCGGGGGCCGCCGCTCGGTGCCCCGCTGACCCGCGCTGACCCGTCGCCGGGGGGCCGCCGCAGGCACGTTCGCCTACAACCCGCAGTACATGGTCAACCTGACGGACCCGGACGAGGACGACGACGAGGATAAGTGTACCGTGATCGTGGCGCTGATGCAAAAGAACCGGCGCGCCCAGCGCAAGCTCGGCCTCGACTGCCTCACCGTCGGCTTCGCCATCTATCACGTGAGTCTCGGCGGCGTCGGCCGCCTCGCTGCGGTCTGGGGAGGGGCGTGCCGCGTGCAGAGAACGTCGTTAGGCGGAGGGAACTGTTGAATCCAGCTTAACTTTACTGCGCTGCGATTAAGAGATGTGTAGTGAAAGACCTTTGTGCAATCCTTTTAAAGTAATGCGTTTTAATGTATAGGGTCCACAGCGAGCGATTTTGAATAGCTTCCGATCTGTCCAAATGTTGTCTCACCCGCTGCAAATTGGCCAATATTATTTATTTGCCAATAAATATTTGCTATCAAGACACTCACGTTTTGACCTCCTGCAAAACTCCCAGTTACCTGTTCCGGGGTAACGACTTAAAGAGCAGCTTGCCGTGATCTCGTTCTGCGGCACCACCGGCGCAGACAGCCGGGCGTGTTGGCTGAGCTCCGCCTGGTGGCGCCACCAGGTGTCGGACCCAAGTGGCGCGCCCACGCCGCTCGACACCAGCTACTTCCGGTACAACTCGTCGGTGGCGCGCGCGCCGAGCTTCATCAACCTGCGCGAGGTGTCATGCCGCTTCAAGCTGCCGCCGGGCACCTACTGCATCGTGCCGAGCACGTTCGAGCCGAACGAGGAGGGCGAGTTCCTCATCCGCGTCTTCTCCGAGAAGAAGAACAACATGGAGGAGAACGACCAGGAGGTCGGCCCCGGCAAGGTGGACGACTCGGTGAGTGGCGGACGCCGGGCGACCGGCGGTGCCCGGGACGCTCTCGGTGAGTGGTGTGGGTCGGTCCGGTGACGGCGGCCGTCTCAGTCGACCCCAGCTGCCAGCGGCTGGGGTCGGTCCGGTGACGGCAGCCGTGTTAGTCAACCCCGGGTCGCTAGCGGCTGGGGTCGGTCCGGTGACGGCAGCCGTGTTAGTTGACCCCGGGTCGCTAGCGGCTGGGGTCGGTCCGGCCAGGCACCAGACGGCGCGTGCAGTCGGCCTAGGAGGGCGACTCCGGGGCGTGTATATGGCCGGGTTGGGCGCGGGCGCCGATACGGAGCACGCTGGACCGGCCGGGCTGCACACTGACACGGATGTGAGGTCACCACATCACTCCGTGTTTTCAGCTGATGTGAAGAGTCGCCAGCACCGGATGTACATAACTGACGCCTGCTGTGCTGTAGGCGCGTTTTCTTTGAAAGCTCAGTGTAGCTGTCTGTCTTCCGCTTCTTCCTTGAAAAAGGAGAACGCAGCCCGAGTTAAATCCTAAACGACGGACCTTGTACAGAAGTGCTAGGATTTTCATAGCTGCTCTCTGGAGGCTCAGTTTGGAGGGAACTCTGTCTATGTTTGGTGCGACATCATCCCTGGAATCGATCTCTTGAGATTGGCAGATTTTGCAGCTTCCAGTTGCCCAACTGCACATCCCAGTGTTTACAGCGGAATTCCAAGCGGCAGATATTGATGCGCCTGAAGAGCATGCCGATGTGATGACGTAGAGCATGGCAGCCTCCGCCGGCTTGTGCTCTAATTGGAGCAGTTTGTAAACAGGTTGTTTTCGCGCGGTGTGCGACCGTGATACCAGTCGTATTTTTCAGTTCCGTTTAGGCTTGATGAATGCACTCTCTATCGTGCCAATGGGTGTAAGACAAATGGCGTAAAGTTGGGGATAGATTTATGATTTTTAGTACCTACTCCCGGCACATAGGGAGTGTACTCCCCCGGCACATCTTCATCGATGATTCGGGATTTTTTATCGACAGGTTTATGGTTCGGTGCATTTTTGTCACCGATGTAATTCGCCTTGAAAATTCTTTCAGCAGTTTAAGATTGATCTCCGAAAATTGAAGCTAGATTGGAACGTTGTCCCGGGCGTCTGCAATATGAGAACGCAGTGATACGTTGCGTAAAATCGGACCGTACTAATCTCCATCTGCATGTTATGTGCTGGAGCGGCTGCCAGTGCCTGCCGCGCTGGACGTTTTCCGTCGCGTCGCACCAGTTTCCAAACTCACCCGGCTCTTGCACTGGTCATGTCACGCTGCACACCGTCCGTCACCTTCGGTGTGCCGCCTCACCGCCACTCACGGGCATCTCTGACGCCGATGTGCACTTCTTACTACCGTCACCAGTCCAGCAGCGGAGGCAGTGGCCGCGTGCAGTGGCGCCCCAGGCGTGCATGGGCCGCGCCCGGTCCCACTAACGGCAGCGGCGCGCCGTCCACAGATAGCGGCTGGGCTCGGCGTGCGGGAGGGAGCCATGAACGTTGTGAGTCGGGGGTGGCGCGGCGGCCGCCGCCGCCGCAGGCCGGCGCCTGGGGACCGCTCATCGCTTGGCTCGGGGCTGCCTGTCCGTCCTGAGTTCTGTCGGGACTGTCGAGTGACGGAGGGGGGGGGGGGGGGGCCGTGCCGTGTCGAGGGTGCCATGCTCGTCGGGGTAGTTGCTGACGCCGCTCGCGCTGCTGCTGGGCGCTATGTTCGCTGCTGCTGCTGCGCGCCGCTGGTGGTGCCATTAGTTCGACCGCATTGGGTGTTAGTTGAAGGACACACCTGGCAAATCACTCAACCTGTTGTACGGCGTGAAGTGCGAGTTAGGTTTGTACGATATGCGTGAAAATAATCAATTTGTTCATAGTGGTTGGCTGGCTATTAAACCACACCGTATTTTCGTTGACAGTCGTAAATGATGCGGACCGAAATGGCATGGTCAGTTGGGATGAGCATTTAGCATTTAGATAGCTTTAGCATTATTCAACATTTAGATAGCTTTGATTCTTGATTCAATGTAGTGTAAATGTAAATGCGGTTTCATTGAATGATACCTAAACATAGGCGCTTTGTCAGTTTTATGAACATGTGTTGCTACCCTTGGCCACAACCGTCACCACCCAGAAATGCGCTGAAGCCTGCGCGGGCAATGCGAGTTCCCGTAGTTGGACACTTGCTCTGGTTCAGAACGTATTTATCTCGAAGCATGCGCCAATGACAAATTATCCGTGTCTTATCAGCTATCGGGCTCATTGCCGCTTCACACAATCCGGTGCCTGCGTTTTGCCGCGTTATGCTTAGCGCGCCTGCGCATCACATAATACCGTACACCTAAGTACGCGGCTATGTAGGGTTTACAGGTGTCCTGGGTCAACTTGAGGCACGTGCCCTGCGGTTGTCGTGTCACGTTGGCTCGCGCGCCACTTTATATTGGCAACGCCTATCCCTGCTTCGCAGTTATCTGTGAAGCTTCCAGGTACATTCAATGCATGCATTATTCGCATTCTGCTCCATTGCCTGGTAAACACGCAGTATTCGCTTTCTACTGCATTGCTTGGTAAATGCCGTCAGCTCTCTTGACTTGTGACCATGTTTGACACATTGTGCTGTTTCGTCAGTTTCGTCAATTCCTAAGTATCCATGGACGTATGTTTTTGTCAAGAACAGGTCAGAGTTCACGGGCATCTGTGACCTGCGAGCAGTGCCTCCCCATGCAGTTTGATCGCTTTGGCTTGGCCGGCTCAAGTGGACATCATCTGCATGTGGTTGCCTGAGTTTGCCTGGCAAGTGTCCAGAGTCGTGACATGTACACTGTTCTGAAGAGAAGCCGTTCGTGGGCTGACCAGCTGTGTGATGTCTGCATGTGCTGCAAAGCCGACGTTCGGTACCCGCTTGGTCGGCAGCCTCCGATGATCACTGGTCAGCGCGCCGTCCAGCCGTCCTGTCCACTAAATATTCCAGATGATAACTGAGGAAAGCGTAGGCGGGCGGTGGTCCACCTGGTCTCGTCTGGTCTGGTCTGGTCTGGTCTGGTCTGCTCTCGTTTGGTCGGACGGTACGGGTGGCTACGATTCAGTTGAGGGCGAGGGTTTAATTAGCACAGAACAGGTAAGTATACCTAAACCACTACGTCGCAGCACGAACCATGCTTGTTGATGGAGGCCTCCCATGTTCGCGATACGGGAGATTTTTGTTAACTATTCTCTGTTTGTTCTGTTTTCTCTCTGCCAACTATTCTTTGCTGTGCGTTTTGTTTCTGACAGAAAATTGCCTGTTTCGGTGTGCTGTAATTAAGGCCTTGTAAGAGAGAACTGAAAGACCCGTAGTCTGAGGATTTCCGCTGCGCAGTTAATGAACCATTCGAGACCAGGGTCTTGAAACGTAGTAGACCAGAGTTATGAAACGTAGTGACGTATTGATCATTCGCTTTACAAATATTTTGACTCTTGACATGTCATCAAGTTAACAATTCGAGAAGGACTTTTCTTATGCTTTTTAGAAATACTTTTTTAACAATTCAAGAAAGAAACAAAAACAAGAAAGAAAGAGTTATGTAATCAGTGGCGACTGCAGAGGGTGGTTTGGATGAGCGTAGTCACGAAACTCTGGGCATTCTTGTAGCCCTCTAATCGAGGGAAAGGAAATGATATACTGCAATGCAAGACGTCTGAATTATGTAAAGTAATGTTGTCTAGTGATACGTACTTTCATACCCTATATGGGACATTTACTGGCACGTCAGGAAGGTTTGGAGACATAAAAATGTTTTAACTGTTTATTTTCCGCGACTTTTACATGTACATTGACGTGGAAGGTAGAAAATCCACTTTGTGGAAGCTGCTAAATGCCTGTCTATCTGTACAAAAACATCATCGTTTCCTCGGCAAAACAGCGTACAACGTGGAAAGGTCATCAGATTTTGACGCGCGATTTTCTTTTTCTTTAAATTATTGTTTTTTCGAAGTCTGGTGGGGCATACTGAACATTTTCAGCCACAACGAAACAGGTGCATTACATTTGGAGCTGTGCCGAAGTGAATGTTGCTTGCGGTTATGTTGATATGCCTGCCCAGGTTTGCGTGCGGAATCCGCTGGTGATCTCTGTTTTGTTCCGAAGTGTTTGTACAACGAAAATTCATCGTAGATTGCTTGCGGGAAGTGTTGCCAGGTTGTCTCTGAGATCTCGGGTGGAGTGAACGAATCATGGACTGCTCAGTTGTGAAGACCTTGGTGTGACAGTGTGCAGAGTCACGAGGCTCCAGACTGATCTTCGGCCGAACGTTTGGCCATGCTCCGCGTCAAGTGACGCGAACGATGTCGGCCCCAAATGACCCAAGGTGTTAATTGCGTCGTTAAGCGCCATACATTGCTGCCAGGGTTGATCCACGTAAGAGCCAGCGCTGTCGGACAGTCTCTGCCGAGTTGCAGACGCTTTTCACAGACGCCTCATAAGGGGCTAAGTGCTTTCTGTTGACAGCCATCCTCGGCTGAACCACACAATCACGTTTGATTGTTAACGCTCGCTCAATGTTGACAGCTGGTACTGCGGTAGCTGGCAATGGCACAAACCGCCCGGCCGGCCGGCGCCGGTTGTGCTGGACGCTCCATGTTGACAGACCGTCATCCGTTTGTGGGCGGAGGGCCCGCGCCTCGCGGTCTGAACCCTGGGTGACGCCTCCCCCTCGGTCTGTGACTCACCAGGTGAAACCCGAGCTGGAGGAGGAGTCCGAGTACGACCAGATGGTCCGCGAGTTCTTCAACAAAATCGCCGGAGACGACCTGGAGATTGACTGGCAGGAGCTCAAACAAGTGCTGGACTACGCCCTGAAGAAGGGTAAGGACGGCGGCTGCTGACGAAGGTTGTCGGTGTGCAACTGGTAAAAGTTTCGCGTAGTTTTAACATGATGTGCACGTTCTGCAGATGTGCGTAATCGCGGCTGAACACTTTCGTCATATCAGTGCTCTAGTCAACAGAAACTTGATTGCCATTTCTTCCTGCTTGAGACTTAACAACGGTCGTTTTATATTGCTGCACATTTCCAAGTACAGAAAACATCTCAGGTTTCATGTGCAATGCAAAGTATGTCGCGGAGGCAAACGGGCACCTGCAAATACGCCCCTAATTTGCTTTACCCCATCTTTCCACGCCACCGAACAGAATTCAGTCGTAAGTATTTTATGCAGGCTCTGTAACTCGATTGCTTAGATCAAGTAACCTAAGGAATCCAACGTTATGTGGTGTTCGGCAGTCTCATTGGACACAGCATGCCTTTCGCTCACAAGGAGCCACTGCAAGCATTGCCGGTGTTTGCGCTTGCCATTGTATATTTGCATTGGAGCTCAGTGTGCGCGCTATGCTACAGAGTGAGACTACCAAGATGGCCGACAAGAGCACATATCAGTATGCCCTTCCATTAACAGTAATGGAAAACCCACATCTCCACTGGCCTGCGATTTCCAAATGTCATGCTGTCGCATGTGTGATGGAGCTTTTGGGCGCTGGTCTTTAAAGCATAGTACTTACCATGTCCTCCCCGCAGAGTTCGAATTTGAGGGCTTCAGCAAGGACACGGCGCGCTCCATGATCGCACTCATGGACGTAGACAACTCGGGCAAGCTCGGCTTGGAGGAGTTCAAGACGCTGTGGAACTGCATCCGCGTCTGGAAGACGGTGTTCAAGCAGCACGACGCCGACGGCACCGGGTTCCTCAGCGCCTTCGAGCTGCGGTCGGCGCTGAACGAGGCCGGCTACCGGGTCAACAACAACCTGCTTGGCTCCTTGATGCACAGGTTAGCTGTCGGCCTGCGGACGAACGGCGAACGGATGGGCTGTCGGGCGGTGACCGGCGAACGGACGGGCTGTCGGGCGGTGACCGGCGAACGGACGGTCTGCCGGGCGGCGCTCGCAGGCGAACGGACGGGCTGTCGGGCGGCGACCGGCGAACAGACGAGCTGTCGGCGGCGCTCGCAGGCGAACGGACGGTCTGCCGGGCGGCGCTCGCAGGCGAACGGACGGTCTGCCGGGCGGCGCTCGCAGGCGAACGGACGGGCTGTCGGGCGACGCTCGCAGGCGAACGGACGGGGTGTCGGCGGCGCTCGCAGGCGAACGGACGGTCTGTCGGGCGACGCTCGCAGGCGAACGGACGGGCTGTCGGGCGCCGCTCGCAGGCGAACGGACGGGGTGTCGGCGGCGCTCGCAGGCGAACGGACGGTCTGCCGGGCGGCGCTCGCAGGCGAACGGACGGTCTGCCGGGCGGTGCTCGCAGGCGAACGGACGAGCTGTCGGCGACGCTCGCAGGCGAACGGACGGGGTGTCGGCGGCGCTCGCAGGCGAACGTACGGTCTGCCGAGCGGCGCTCGCAGGCGAACGGACGGTCTGCCGGGCGGTGCTCGCAGGCGAACGGACGAGCTGTCGGCGGCGCTCGCAGGCGAACGGACGGTCTGCCGGGCGGTGCTCGCAGGCGAACGGACGAGCTGTCGGCGGCGCTCGCAGGCGAACGGACGGTCTGCCGGGCGGCGCTCGCAGGCGAACGGACGGTCTGCCGGGCGGTGCTCGCAGGCGAACGGACGGGCTGTCGGGCGACGCTCGCAGGCGAACGGACGGGGTGTCGGCAGCGCTGGCAGGCGAACGGACGGTCTGCCGGGCGGCGACCGGCGAACGGACGGGCTGTCGGGCGACGCTCGCAGGCGAACGGACGAGCTGTCGGCGGCGCTCGCCGGCGAACGGACGGTCTGCCGGGCGGCGACCGGGGAACGGACGGGCTGTCGGGCGGCGCTCGCCGGGGAACTGACGGGCTGTCGGGCGGCGCTCGCCGGACGGACATCATTGGCGCTGGCATTGGGGCTTTACGACGCCCACAGCTGCTGAGGCTGTGTGGCGTGGCCTGCCTCTCACCATGGCCGGAAGGACGCGCACCATGAGGAATCTAACACCGTTCCTCCGGTTTCCCAGACGCGCAGCTTAACCACCCCACTATTGCTACCCCTAAGGGTCGGATGGTCGCCGCTTGGCTAAGAATGAGGCACTTTGTGGTGCAGACCGTCGCTGCCGTTTCTGTTCAAGATCTTGCTCGTCCTTGTTGACGATCCATGTATGTTTTTTTTTTACAATTTGGCACGCTTATCTCACCAGAAAAAAAATGAAGCCGGTAGCGAGTCTTGAAACACGACGTGTTGTTTTGTTCGATAGTTTCGTTGTGGGGTTGTTGTTCGGCTATCACCGAAGTGTTTGATTGCCACTTTCGATATGAATTATTCGGTCGCCGATCATGCCATTATGGCGTATTTCAGGTACGGCGATAAGGAGGGCCGAGTGGCTTTCGACGACTTCATGGCGTGCGCTGTGAAGATGAAGACCTGCATAGGTGAGGACATTGTCTGGTTCTGGTTGGTTCTACTGGTTCTATACTGGTTCACCGCTCCAGCATAATAATCACCACTGTCTTATTTTGTGATTGCTCTGTTGGTGCCTTGATCCAGTTAACGGGTGTCCAGTTGCATGTGAGCAAAGCCGAGATCGGTTGAACATGTGCTTGCCACTGGCTTCCACTGATGTTTTATTAATTGTGTCGTCAGCGATTTGAAGCCGACCTTTTGCTTATCATGTATGACTGAATCAAATGGATTACTTGATAGCGGTTAAGTGTTTCTTACGGCTTTTAAGTTCGTGAGGAATATTGCAAGTGCGGTTAAAAGCGTTGACAATCTTAAATATGCGGCATTCTTCGCAGAGATCTTCCGCGACCGTGACCCGGAGAAGACAAATCAGGCCATCTTCTCGCTGGAGGACTGGATGGAGTACAACATGTACTCGTAAGCGGCTTAGACGCCACTGGTGCGAGGACCGCCCGCAGTATCCCGCCCGTCGACTCACACCAGCGCGGGTCAGCTGTCACGCGCGGGGCCTGCCTGCCACCCAGGACGTTTCGCTGGGGCCGGGCCGGGCCGGGCGGGCCGACCCGAGCCGAGCCGAGCCGAGCCGAGCCGAGCCGGGCTGGGCCGCAGTGTGCCGCGTCGCTATGCGCGCGGGTGTGAGGTCGCTGTGCCGCCCGCTCGTAGTCCGTGCCAGCGCCGGGACAGCCGCGGCTCGCGGCGCCGCCTGTCCCGGTAGGAGTTTGACCGGCCGGGCAGCTGTGGCTCGCGGCGCCGCCCCTCCCGGCAGGAGTCAGGACGGCCGGCTCGGCGCGAAGACGTGGCACGCGCCGTCGGCCGGCGCTAACGCGACAGCACTCAGCGAGATACGCGTGGTACTAACCGCGGGCGGCGCCCCCATGCGGGCCGGCCGACACCGCCACTAGGTGGCCTTCGTGTTCGCGCAGCGCATCTCCACTTCCAGCCTGGATCGCGAGGCTTGCAACTGCATCTGAACCTCTGCTCCGTAGATGGACTTCTAGACTTCGGTATACTGGCCTTAGCCGCTGTTCTTTACGGGTCCCGGTCGGCCCCAGTTTGTATGTGCTTTTCTCAAGGGCGTGCGCATTCGTGTGACTGATTCGTGGTTGAATCAGGTGGATATAGCTTTCTCCTCGTATGCAGTGCCTGCCGAAACGTGCTTGTTCTTGGTCTTGTATGCGAAGACAGCTGTTTTGTTAAGTCAGATTCGCCTTTACATTGAACTTTAGAATATATTTTGAATCTGATCGCCCGTTTCTCATAAGTGGTGTTACGGAATGGAGACCAACATCGAACCAAGATGGAGGACCGGAAAGGAGACGAGCATCGAAGTGAGTGCGAAACTGCAGCCTGCTTTTCTGTTGAATCAAGTTGGTTACGAAAAGGTATATAACTAATGCTTACGCGAGTTATCGGTATAAAATCAAAGCGATAGAAAATTATCCATCGTTGAGATTTTCTATTCGCCATAATTATCCACGCTTACCAAACACATCTTCTTTTACGTACACTTGCCTCAGACGCGGAGGGCTCTAAAAATTCGCAATACGACCGAAATCCCGACAAAGTGCGAAAAGTACAGCCCAGGTCGCACGAAATCTGGCCGGCATGCCAAACTCTTACATTTATCGGTGCGTTTCCCGCAATGATGACGCAGATACAAGGGTATATTTGGAATAAACAGAAAGTTACAAACAGCTGCTAATTTTGTCAAAACTTCAGGACATTCAGATCTCGGCGGCTGACATCGAAAGTAACGCTAACTATTGAGGAAAATGTCCTTCAAAAACGCACTTAGATAAACATTAGTAGTATTAGTCTTATTCCTCGACAATAACAAAAACAGGAGAATAGAGAAATAGCTAGGTTGATATTTTGGCAACATCCATTTCCCGAAACAATAGCAGAAGCATTTGCTATTGTTTCGAGAAAGGCATGTTGCCGAATTATCAACCTAACTTTATCTATATTCTCCTGATTTTTCCGAGGAAGGCTAGGCTAGGAAGGTAAGTAGGAAGGAAGGAAGGAAGGTAAGGCTAATACTACTGTCTTATCTATGTGACTAATGCCCCTCGCTAATGCACTGAACAACTTAGTACAGTAACAACTAAGTAACAACTTAGTAGATAGTACACAGATCGCGACAGCTCGAGATCGTTTCCAGAGGATAGCTGCAAACGCTCATCTGGATGTGCTGAATGGAGAATGAACGCATGCCGCCGGACGAAAGCACCAAGCGACTGTAAGGCTCTTGTCCATGGAGTGATGTTCGTGTCGGCACTCAACGAAAGGCGCTTAAGTACACTTGGAGCTGCACTCAATTGCTTGAGGCTTTACTGGATACTTCTGCCCCCGGGTACGGTAGAACAGAGGTGAACACGGGTCACAACGGCGGAACCAATTAGATGGAAAAGTACACCGCCTGGTCGTGGTGGGTCACAGACACCTCGTGCACCGGTTGGAGTGTCAATGGCACACCAACGGGCTCAATCTCCGAGAGGTATTACTTGTACAGTCGGACGGTGTGGCCACCGCCCCCGAGCCTTTCTCGGCCAAATCGGGAAGCGTGGCCAGATCGGCTGACCATCTGCCGGTTGTCAGGCTTCAGACTACTCTAGGGAGCGTTACAGAAATACGGCCCGAGATCTGCGCTGACACCAGCGTGGACCAGGGACATCTCCGCAGGCTGGCACCCTGCGTGCAGACGGCACAGCCTGCTCTCCAGTCACTGGCAGCAGGGTCGAGCAGCTGAGCCGGGCCAGGCGGCTCACGCCGGCACCGGCAGCTCTATACTCCCGCGCATCCTCTGACCAGCCATTGGGAAAAGGCCACACTAGGGGCCTCTGGGGCTGCCCTGCACGTTACTACGCGGTAGGTCAAGGCGCGGCCCCGGGTTACTGTGCGTCCCGCCCGGGCTAGCCTGGTCCAGCCGAGCGGGATGTCGCCTTCTCCAAGAATCTCATCGTCACGGTGTGATTCATCATTCGGTTCATCAGCTCGTACTCGACACATCTGTAGAATGTGAGACCACATAAACTGATAGAATAACCTGGCTGTGGCTGGCAAAGGTCACCTCCGTGACTACCATGTTCCGCGCGTACCGCAATGACTCCGCGATTCCATGCAGTTTTCCGGAGTCGAAACCGTTTTTCATCAAACTTATACCTCAAGCACCAAATTGTCACATCTATATCACGTGTATATTTGGTGTATGTATATATATAATTGCAAGACAAAGCCCATGGTGACAGCTCAACAGCAGCACGTTAGCTTTTCACCGGCATACCGGCCTGCCAGCCCTGGATGTCGTGACTACATCCTAACTGACCGGACACACAGCAATGCTGCAGCCACCCACGGCCCAGCCGCAGCCGCCCAGGAACGCCGACCACGGCGCCGGCAGTGTGTCTCGCAGATAGCTCATTAGGCGTCCTCGTAGCCGGTGCGAACCACACATTCAGCGCCTTCTTCCATATTCATCTTCAACACCACCTTCAGCTGCCGCGGCGTTGCCACCCCCGGGCGGCGCGACTCGACCACTCGTCGGCCTCTAGACCAAGAGCCGACGTGGTCCGGAGGCCGACTCCTGCCGCCCCCGCATCTCATCGTCCAGCGATGAACCCCGGCCGCTGCGGCACGGCGCGGCACACTTCAGGCCGAACTGCAGACCTGCTGACACTGCCCGAGTGCCTGAGCACAGCACTCTGACACCAATTATGATGAGGAGACACGACAAGGCCGCGTGGGTGCTACTTGGGCGCCGGGAACGGCTCGTGCTCGTGGTCGCGAAGCTCGGCGTTGTGTCCCTCGCGGAAGCAGGCACGGCAGTAGAGATCGCCCGAGCAGCCCCCGCACCGCACGGTGGCGTCCGCGTTACAGATACAGCACCAGGGCAGCTCCTGCGCGACGAGAGGACGGTGCACGGTCACGGCGCGGCCCGCACTGCTGGTGCTGACCCGGAGCTCTCACGCCACATTGCGCCCATCGCCAGTCCTGGACTGGAGGTATGGCACACGACCACACAGCGTGTGTGTGTGTCATTGGGGCTTTACGACGCACCCAGCTGCTGAGGCTATATGGCGTCGCCGGCCTCCCACCCTGGCAGGAAGGGCGGGCACCGCGGGGAATCGAACCCCGTACCTCTGGTTTCCCAGACGCGCAGTGGTTAACGCAGACGCGCTAACCACTACACTACCAGCACCCCACCACACAGCGTGGAGTTATCCACTCACGCCCCTGGCTAGACTGAAGCGCGACTAAGAGAGGGATGGGAGCCGCATCGATCTGGAACACACAGTTGTAAGACAATGCTCCATGATATACTTTCTCCTCTGTGTCGTCGGTGTCGCAAATGAGCACCAGCACTGTTGCTAACATTGCCATCATTTACTAACGTCATGTTGGTGACTGTCCAAGCTGGGCAAATCCAGTTACGTTTACATACAGCTCCACCAAAACGAACTTACGCCCGATGTGGGCGAACAGCATGCCATACTACCAAGCATAGGTAGCGGCCCAGACCACAGGGACGCGACATGGCGCAAGCCCGGTCCCCTGAACACCAGCCATCGATGAAGCGACAAAGGGGGCACCATGAATGGTTTCGCCACCGCCTAAGAGCCCAAGCTGGGCCCTCACTGTTTACGTACCGCCAGTCTTCCACCTATTCGTACCCTCCGTGTTCAAGGCAGGCGGATGTGCCGTCAGACAAACCCAGCTGCAGTCTTACCTCGTCGTCCACTGAAGAGATCGACTCGAGCTCCTCCTCCATCTCCTTTTCCTCCAGTTTTGCCCTCTCCTGTATCTGAGGAGGTAGAAGCGCGGGGTGAAGAGGGTAAAACGATCGTTACGCCAACATAAAGACACAACAGCTACGGAGTATGGCATCACCGTACCACGAGAGTTGATATTAGTAGAAATCAACTACTTTCATCACTAATGAGGCATAGCAGCAAGTGACAAACCGTCCGGAAGCACACCTGACTGAAATCGGGAGAGTAACGAGTTAAATGCAAACCAACCAATTGACAAAAAAAAAAAATAACGTGACTTCAGACACGCTCACAAGAAGGTCTGCTCGGAGTCCGTCACGTTTGTTGCACATCACAACGCTAGCGTGGAGTGTACTTGGATGAAAACAGAGTGCGCGCACCAACGCGACACCATTTTCTTCGAGCAGCCTATAGAGCTCGTTCCACATCTTGTGGTTGTCAATACACGGGCACAAATCATGCTGAGAAGCAATCATCAGGCACCATAGACCGTAAGCCAGGAGCGTAAATGCCAGCGCCAGCGCAGGCTGCACTGCACCGGGCCTCGAGCGTCGATACCAGTGCCAGCGCAGGCTGCACTGCACCGGGCCAGTGCCCGCGCCGCTCACCTGCTGTATCAGCCTCTGCACCTCCTCCTCTTCGGACGGGTCGGCGGTGTCCGGCGGCGTCGGCGGCGGCGGCGACGCGCCCCGGCCAGGCCCGTGCGCCGCTCCTTTCACCTCCTCCAGTCTGGCGGTCAAGCGGCCACGCGAGAGTCAGCGATGGTGCGGCGCGGCTCACGCAGCGGAGCACGGCGAGAGCCGGCGATGGTGCGGCGCGGCTCACGCAGCGGAGCACGGCGAGAGCCGGCGATGGTGCGGCGCGGCTCACGCAGGGGAGCACGGCGAGAGCCGGCGATGGTGCGGCGCGGCTCACGCAGCGGAGCACGGCGAAAGCTGGCGATGGTGCGGCGCGGCTCACGCAGGGGAGCACGGCGAGAGCCGGCGATGGTGCGGCGCGGCTCACGCAGCGGAGCACGGCGAGACCCGGCGATGGTGCGGCGCGGCTCACGCAGCGGAGCACGGCGAGAGCCGACGATGGTGCGGCGCGGCTCACGCAGCGGAGCACGGCGAGAGCCGGCGATGGTGCGGCTCACGCAGCGGAGCACGGCGAGTCAGCGATGGTGCGGCGCAGCTCACGCAGCGGAGCACGGCGAGAGCCGGCGGGCCGCGCTACGACCTTCCGCTTGCGAAATAATCAGCTAAGCTAAAGACACGGAAGAACGGATCACAGCCCCACATACCTATCCTCCACACGAGGACTGATGAATTTCTGCGACTGACCTTTGGGATGTCAGTGCCCTTCTATCTCTGACCTGTGCAGTATGTCGGCGTCTTCTGTCACTTACCTGTGGTGAATGCCGGCGTCTTCTGCCACTTACTTGTGGTGGATGTCGGCGCTTCCTGCCACTTACCTGTGGAATATGTCGACAACTTCTTCCACTTACCTGCGGTGAATGTCGGCGCGGTCTGCCACTTACCTGTGATGGACGTCGGTACCTTCCGTCACTTACATGTGGTAGATATCAGCACCTTCTGCCACTTACCTGTGGTGTCTGTCGGCACCTTCTGTCAGTTACCTTTCGTGGATGTCAGCGCCTTCTGCCATTTACCTGTGGTGGATATCGATACCTTCTTCCACTTACCTGTGGCGAATGTCGGCACCTTCTGCCACTTACATGTGCTGGATGTCAGCACCTTCTGCCACTACCTTTGGCGGATGTCTGCATCTTCTGTCGCTTACCTGTGGTGGATGTCGGCGCCTTCTGCCACTTACCTGTGCTGTCTGCCAGCGCTTTCTGCCACTTACCTGTGGTCGATGTCGACACCTTCTTCCATTTACCTGTGGTGAATTTTGAAACCTGGGTTGATGTCGACACCTTCTTCCATTTATCTGTGGTGAATTTCGGCGCGTTCTGTCACTTACCTGTGGTGGGTGTCGGCGCCTTCTGCCACTTACCTGTGGTGGATGTCGACACCTTCCACTTACTTGTGGTGGATATCGTCACCTTCTGCCACTTACCTACTTACTATGGTGCCTGTCGCCACTTACCTACTACTTGCTATGGTGTCTGTCGGCGCCTTCTGCCACTAATCTGTGGTGGATGTCGACACCTTCCACTTACCTGTCATGAATGTCAGCACCTTCTGCCACTTACCTGTGGTGAATGTCGGCGCCCTCTGCCACTTACCTGTGGTGTCTGTCGGCGACCTTCTGCCACTCACCTATGGTGGATATCAGCGCCTTCTACCACTTACCTGTGGTGTCCGTCGGCGAGCTTCTGCCACTTACCTGTGATGGGTGCCAGCACTCTCAACCAATTACCTGTGATGGATGTCGGCGTCTTCGGCCACTTACATGTTGCATGTGGTGTCTGTCGGCGCTTTCTGTTACTTACCGGTGGTGGAAGTCGGCACCTTCTGCCGCTTACTCGTGCTAGGTATCGGCGCCCTCTTCTACTTTTCTTCGATTGACCTGTGGTGAATGTCAGCGACCTTCCGCGACTGACCTGTGGTGTATGTCAGCGACCTTCTGCGACTGACCTGTGGTGTACGTCAGCGACCTTCTGCGACTGACCTGTGGTGTATGTCAGCGACCTTCTGCGACTGACCTATGGTGAATGTCGGCGACCTTCTGCGCCAGCCGGTCGGCGCGCTCGACCTCGGTGTTAAGTTCGCGGCTGACGACCGTCATCAGCTCGTCGGCCGTCTGGCCGTCGGTGCTGGGCGGCAGCTCGGGCGGCTGCAGCGCAACAGCCACTCCGCTGGTCATGGGGCCGGCGGTTGCACACGAATAGGAACACGCGGAGGCGGGGGCACGGACTCAGGGGCTGCCAGTGCCCACCCGGAGAGGCAGACCTGGACTGTCATCCGATTCCGCGCTCGGCTAGCGAACAGGCTGGAACCGCCGATACTGACGATGATCGGGATTCTTACCAAACCAAACATAACCAAATGTGAAGCAGCTCACGACGGCCTGGAAGACTGAAGACCGCTTCAAATGCGTGGTTACGCAGAGCCGATAGCACAGGTCTCAAGCAGCAAAGGGGATGGTAAAGCAATCATGGTTCTCAGCAAGAGGCAAATTCGCCGTCAGAACAAATACAACAAACCAGATACCTTCATGTTAGGAAGTGTGTACAAGACCAAGAAACCTATGTTTGCGAAGAACACAATAATTCACCCCATGGATGACAAACCACCTCATAACACGCCACCCCAGGTGATGAAACATCATAAAGCAATGCAGCAAAAATAAAGAGTGCTTTCAACCCTGCAGCCTTGGAAGAACAATGACAATCGTTGCACCGCTCGCAGTTGTGCAGCTCCACAGCGCCGTGCCGCGGGCCTGTCTTCACCATAGAGCGGATGAGTGAGTGGTGTGACGTGCCCACACACCAGCCGTGGCTGCCGTGCCGACGGCGGCCCACTGCACCCTCTCCTGGCCCAGCGCTGAGGCCCACGCCGGGCCGCCCGCACCCTGACCTGGTCGCGCTCGGCCGGCTCGTCCGTGGAGAGACCGCGCAACCGGGCCAGCCGCTCGTGCAGGCCCTCCTCGGGCCGGTACCGGCCGGCGATGGCCAGTTCACCGCGCGTCTGCGCCAGCAGCGCCGCCTCCTGCTCGGCCGCCGAGCGGTGCTCCTCGGGCTGTCGGTGGTGCACAGGGACACGGTGAGACGCGCCGGACGGGGTCAGGGCCGGCGCCGCTCCTCCGAGGACCGATCTGGTGACTGCGGCTTCTCGCAGGAGCGAAGTGGGGAGGTTACCGTGATCTTCTCCAGGACATTGTGCATAACGCTGGCGTCGCATGATCAAACCACATGTCTGTATCCCGCGCAACACCAAAAGGAGAGAAAAAAAACATGGGTGGGTACATACCCTCGGTGTTTTACTCCAGCCATGCTACCTAAAGAAAGATCACCACTTTGGGGTGCACTTGTCTCAAAGAAAGTTGCAGCATGAAGCTGCAGCCGACAAAAGCCGAAGTCATGCGCCAGAATGTTAAATGTTCAACGTGGCTCTGAACCACCCACCTGATACCTCCCTTTTTAAGTTTTTTTTTCTTTGATTAATTACGATCGCGAGTGACACCTTTTAATGTGTCGAAATTCAAGAGTTTCGCTAAAAATGATAACTTTAAGGAAGATTTCGAGCCCTTATTTCGGAACCTTTAAAGACTTCGGTCTCAATCCATGGAAACCTAGAATTTTCCGCTCATTTGGTTCGGCCTCATTCACAGCTTTGAAGACGACGTTTCGATCTCTGTCACATCTTCTGCTGAGGCGATTTTGACACGCTGGCCGCCTACTATCCCGTCGGTTCTCCTTCCCGTCGACCGAGGTTATCAAGCCCTGGACGCCGTCAAGAGCACACCGCAACGTCGTACTCTGCTCCAATGACGCCCACTTCGACGGCGGTTCGAATCAGACAAAGCCGTGCGGTCCAAGATTACTGCCAATGCATCCACAAATAGTTGTGGGCCTTTTTACCCATAAAACACCATGGACCTTTTTAAAACAAATCCGTTCTCCTTAGATACAGTGGATATTGTGTGGCTATGAGAAGGAACTTACATCAATGAATTTTATGACCGACATCTGATTACGCTCCTCTATAATCATAAGTCTACGGTTACCACTCAACAGCTGGAGCAATATCTGCTGCATAAATTGGTATATGGAGACCCGGGTATGCAGCGCCAGGTCAGCCTGGCTAGTACCGCTGCACTGACCGGTAGGTTGGAGGCCTGCGACGGTCCGGCGCCGCCAGCTTCTCCCTTCAGCGCCGACAGCCGCTCCTCCATCTCCCGCTCTGTGGGCACACTGATCAAACAGAGCTGGTCAGCTGACGTCGCAGCCCGTCACATGTCTTTAGGGAACTGCTCGGGCTCCACTGGCTGACCCAGTGGGTGGTGTGGCGCTCCTCTGGGTGGCTGAGCCTAACTATCGCTGGCGTCGCTGGTCAGGCACCCAGTACAATTAAGGAAAGTCTGCTCATATTTCACTACAGAAAATGACATCAAACTAGGCCAGATCCCAGCAACAATGAATCTACCGATGCAATCTTTGGCCGCGCTTGTCCGGCACGTTTCTACCGTTCGCGTATGCGAAACGGTAGAAATCGCGTATGCGAATCGTTATCGCGTTATCGCGTTAATCGTAATCGCGTATGCGAAAAGTTCCTCTCGCAATCAGACCAGTTACAAAATGGGGTTGTTTAGTGCCACACGTGCCGGAGGCCTGACCGCATTGCAACGTGAAAAAACTGTGAGTCGTCATTTAGTCTCTAATTTTTTGGTACCAACTATAAACCACAACGGAATGAATGGATCATTGAGTTTCAACAAGACATCTTGGACACTACGGGCACTGTCTGAAAAGGCTAACAGCAGCGTGCCGACCGGCCGTGCCGAGCGCCCACTCACTGTTTGGCCTTCCTGTCGGCCTTCAGCGCCTCGAGCCGGTCCACCAGCTCCGAGTCCTGGCGACTGAGGCCCTGCTTCAGGGAGGCAGCACGCGACGACTCGCGGTAGACGGTGATAGGGCGGCCGCGCCGGGTTCTCCAGCTCCTCCAGACGCCTGGCAGCCGATGTGACGGCATCACAGGGGGCGCACGGTCACGGCCACCGCTTCATATGGGACACTCACAACCGCATGGCCACGGTCACACTCACATCAGATGGCATCGTTCGGGTCCGCGTAAACTCAGCGTGAGGCCGGCACTCAAAGCTGTGCATATCCAACTGAAAAGCCGCCGCACCGAGCACAACTGATCAAAACGTTCCCGTGTGTTCCCTGCCTTGAGCGGTTTTGTAGGATACAGACTGTACAGTTTGTGAATTGCTGTACCGCTCAGTGCGCCGTGTACCTTTCGAGTGCCGCGGGCGGCAGCAGCGGCGGCGCCTCGTCCTCAATGGTGGTGGCATTATTGTAGCACTTCCTGCAGACGGCCAGCTTCTTTCCACCGAGCACCGGCACCGGCAACTTCTCGGGCAGGCAGCGCGAACAGAACGACAGGCGGCAGATCGGACACTCGTGCTGCCGGCATCGATAACGACAGGCTGCTCATCACAGGCGGCATGAACAGAACGACAAGCGGCAGATCGGACACTCGTGCTGCCGGCATCGATAACGACAGGCTGCTCATCACAGGCGGCACGAACAGAACGACAAGCGGCAGATCGGACACTCGTGCTGCCGGTATCGATAACCACAGGCGGCTCATCACAGGCGGCACGAACGGAGCGACACGCGGCAGATCGGATACTCGTGCTGCCGGCACCAGAAACGACGGGCAGCTCATCACAGGGGATGTGAACAGAGCGACAGGCGGCAGATCGGACACTTGAGATAGCGATACCGAGGCCGGAGGCTTGTAATGCCATCACAAGGATAAAAGTATAACTGTTTTATCCTCACCGAACCGCCGTGCTCAAGGCTACCCAGTGACAATCGTAATCAAAAGCAAAAACAATGTGGTCCACTTTCCTGACGTTAGCTTTCAAACTCCGATGGCAATTTTACAGAGCTGTTCGTCCCGATAGCTTAGATGGTTAGAACGCCTGCCTTCCGACTCACCCACCCGTGGCGGGCTGGGTTCGAGTTGCTTTATAGGCTCACTATTTGCCCCTGACTAGGATGGCCTGCGGTTGGTGACAGCGGCTGCGCTAAAAGATCGGGTCAACACAGAGGGCAGGACGGACCATACCGGGCATTGCGGCACGTTACGCTCTCGCCGCAAAATTCTGGTGTTGACCCGGAAATTCACAGTCAAATATTGGGGTAAGGGCTCGCATAACAAGCACTACTTAGCATGGGCGCTGATCGTAAAAATCTACGCGGTCAAGAGGTTCGGACTCATTGTCCAAAAAAACTTTGAAAGTGGAACCAAACATTGAATGAGCATACCAGAACTTTTGGCACTAACCAAAACTTGGGTGCTGTTACCACGCTGTACCATGCGTGCCTCAGGAGTATGGAGGGATATGTCATTGGTGGACCTCTGGAACAGGGGAGGGCCGAGTCAGAAGCCCTGGAATACAGTAATGGGATTAGGCAGGAGTCTGGATAGGTGCAGGTTGCAATGCCTGTCAGCTGCGCAGATTGATCTTTTGCTGTTGTCTATTGGGGTTTTCGGGGGCGCCAACTGCAGTGGTCATTTACCGCCCATAGGAACAGACCGAGTCTGACCACGGATACATTAAGAGAACCACAGTGAATTGGTGCAATTGGTTTGGAACTTGATGAGGAACTCTGCATGGTCAATCACAACAAAACACCTAGATGGATTATGGAAACAAAGAACAACTCCAGTGGCCAATAGCCAATAATGAAATGGTCAAATGCAGAAAGCAGTTCAGTGTCCTGTGGCATGGGAGCAAAAACTGTATGTAAAGAGGCAAAGAAGAAACAAGTAGAAGTGACATATTCGATTTGATACACTCTTTCTGCTGTTGTGTGAATCCACTGGGATCTAATCTGGCACTTACATCTACCTAAAAAAAGGTCAGTGGCTGGCCCATGAACTTTAATGGCATTACTACCATCCCAGCCAAACAGCCAAAGTTAGTAGCTGTTGCTAGATGCCACCAAAGGCCATGCAGTGTTGTTGTAGACTGCAATGCCTAAAACTTAACTGGATGCCTGTACATATTTGATCTTAAGCATGTATCAGTTAGCAACATTTTGGTCATGTATATTTAAGCTAATCTGATAATTTTTGCATATGAATATTGACGATCAGAAAATACATCCTCCCAATCCATCCTGCAACAGACATCACACAGGGAATTAATGGCAGTATACCTGAAAAATTTCAACTGTTCCTTGCCATGGTGGAGCTCCTCCTTTGGAACAAAAATGTTAAATTCATAGATTTGAACATTTCATGGGTGGCACACTCTTATTTAAAACACGTTAAGCACTTGTATCCCACTCAAAGTGCTTTGCCCTGGCTCACAACCATGGTCAATATAGGCGCGGCAGTTTGTGTCTATCGTCGGTTCACTTTGTGTTTCGCCCGCCGCGGTGCGGGACTTGCTTGCCGCTCGCGGTCGGTATTGTGCTTTCAGGAGGGAAGGAGCGCGGGCACCGTCCCGTGTAGGGCGCGGGCCCGGTTGCACCCAAAACCTCGGGGCGGTTGGTTCGGAGATCTGTCGCCAGGCGGCTCTCACCCGGGCTGTCGGCAACGCCGGCGCTGGAAACGCGGCCGGCCGCTAGGTGGCAGAAACAACTGTACCAGGCATTCTGGGTGCCGCGCCAAGTGCTGCGCATGCGCGAGCATGCGAAAGTCGCATCCCCGGGCGGGCACGACGTGGGACGTGATGCGCGGTTTCTTGAGGCACTCCGCGTGAGACTCCACGGCCTTTACGGGCGGGGGGGGGGATTCCTTCACATGTCCCTGAATATCCGCACTCTATGTTTTTGTTCACATAAAATGTGCATTCATAATTGTCTGTTGGCTACAAAAACTCCTAATGATTGGTCGAGTAACAAGCATAATTAACAGATGCAGCAAGCTGATCTTTCCATTCCTGGTGCGCTATGCAGGGACCACTCCGCCGTGAATGCTAAACAAACCCATCCAGATCCGCACACCCGTACCATGCGGCAGGTGGAACAAGCATGCATCAATCTCAACTATGATGCAATCATGTGGCCAATATTAGTGCAATGTGATATTTTAAGGTAACAGCTGGCACAGTGCACTGACCATTGATGCAGGAACATATCAACTTGAATTGCTAAAAAACACTGACGCATGAAAAATTGGTTTTGAAAATACAAAAATCATGCAGCTTAAAGCCAAATTCATTTTGTGTGCAAAGGTTCCATCAGCAACTTCTCACTTTACCTCCTTTGTGAAGAATCCATATTTGTTGCAGCAGCTAGAGCAAGACATCTTGCCAGCAATGTCAACACATGCACACTGCAAAAGGTGGCAAACCAGTCAAAATATCTGGGGCATGTTCGATCCAGTTCTGAATGTGGCAGCCATCTTCTTTGTCTGGGACTGAGCCAAAGATATTTGAAGACTGGGGGATCATCTCCAACACCTTCCAATCTAATTTGCACTTCCTAGCTGATTACCCCTATAACTCCACTCAAGATTGGTCGGGTGCATACTGAATTAACCATTCAACATCATGCATTGGACTATAACATTACCAAATTCACAGCATCTAAAAAACGCATCACACAGTTCACAATGCAAACAATATTTTGTTTCAGAGCCACCATGGTTTTGAAGCCATTTTGTAGGACACTAGCCTAGCTGGTATCTAGTTGTTTGTGGCTGGTTCACCTAGTCTGACAAGGCCATTGACAGTCAATTGCCTTCTCAAGTATTGAAGGACCTCTAACCACATAATGAGTTGAACGAGTAGTTGCACCCTGAGCAGAACAGAAGATGGTGTCAAAGGCCACTCTGACACAGTTAGGACAAATAAGACACATGGGTTTCATGGCTGCAACTGCCTTCTGTAAGTGTCCATTATTTGTTTCTCTTAAGCACCATGCTGTTTCCTGCTCCACCCATCTTTGACTAAGCTTGATGCCAGCCCAGGGGTACAATAGGCTGCCCTTATTAAGGAATTCCAGCCCCAAAACATACCTTACTGTCCCAAACCTACCCCAAAATTTTGTCCAAAATCTGTCATGTTTTGGCAACTGGCACACACACACACACTGCAAATCTGGCAACTCAGCTTCTTGCAGGTTTGATGCCCACTTTCATTGCATTGTGGACCATCACCAAAAAATATGAAGTTGCAAAAATAATTTCAGGCAGACATACTTTCCAAAGCATTTTGAAAAACACAATGCCAAATTCTGCACAAATATGGCTTGGCTTAAGTTGTGTCAAATACACTACAATGATGCAGCAACAAAATTCAGCACAGTAGACGAATTTTGCAGGCTGCACTGAAGGCATGCGTTGACGTTCAACGATACAACTGCATATGGACGCGGTAGGGAGGAGACCTGTTGGTCAGACCACCAAAGATTCGTTTTCTTGTATTCCTACACATCACAAATATTCCTAACTTACAAGGCAACCTATGGTAAGTCACACACATGACAACTAAGTCACACAGATGAACAAGGATCTCAGTATGATATCAACCCTGATATCAACCACCCTGACATCAACCAAACTGAAACTGTTGTAACACAGACATGTACGCCCATACCCTTCCAGAACCCCAAACACGCAGTGCGCGTACTCGATACCGAGTCTCGGCATCGCTGCATCAGCCTCCGTGCCTCAGTCAGCTGCTGCCAAGGTTTTCTGCCAACGCCCTTGATGACGTCACTAGGATGCATCAAACATTAATCACATAAATTCACAAAAGGTTGCGCGGCTCTCATCATCATCGTGTCTGAAATTGACTGCATTAATATCACCTGCATTCGAAAATACTGGAAGTGGTAACCAACTGCAGAAAACGGTCAAACGCCGCAGGAACAGAACTGCGGAAAATCAATACAGTCTTGTACTAAGGGAGAATAAGGAGACAAAAGCTTTAAAAATAAGTATATTTTTCAGGAAAGGTGTTACGCAGTTGACTATTTTCTTGTGAGAAAAGTACATTCTTAATAATGCATACGTCATCAAAAATGCCAGACTCGGTATTTGTCCAAACCACGTTCGAATCTAGAACGTTTACAAGCAGTGCGCGCATTGCGCGTCAAAATTGCCAACGCCAAAATTGTGTGGCAAGTGAGCGTAGGCCTGTGGGTGATAACTGCGATTCTTATTGAAGCTGACACCCTTCAGGGAATGGGACCAACAGTTGCCAGTTACGTCGAGTAAAACAGTTAATTCTCAGCATGGCTGAGTATCTCGCCTCGATCTTTGGAACCGAGAAGGACAAGTGAGTGGAACCTGTTCCGGTAGCGTGATTCGTGTGCAAAAATCCATTCATTACGCAGGCCACCTATGTGACATTGGTGTGCAGAACCTCGCGCTGTCGTGCGCTTGACTTGAACCGTGCCGAATTACGCTATTTTTGAAATTGTTCTCTATGTGGTAAATGTTATGGCTCATTATTGCCCCAAACTTGGTAGTAGCATGCTACCCCAAATTGGTGTAGGTGTACTTTCCTACCTAACGTTAGAAAAAATCATTGCACACCATTCGTCGTGTTCAAGGCGGCACATATCGTAAATAATCTCAAAACAGGTAGAATCATGCTCCTACCTTCGAATTTCAATAACTTCGATGGCGGGCTCCCGAGCGCCACGCGCACCGCACCGCCTGGACTCCCCAGCGCCGTTTCTGCGTTGCCGCTGCGTAAATACAATATTTCTGCTTACCAAGAACTCTACAAAATGAACGGGACCAAGGTAAACCATTCGTCGTGTTTAAGGCGGAACATATCGTAAATAGTTTCAAAACAGATAGAATCATGCTCCTACCCTCAAATTTTAATAAATACGATAGCGAGCTCCCGAGCGCCGCACGCCCCGCACCGCACTGCCTCGACTTCCAAGCGCTGTTTCTACGTTGTTGCGAAAGCACAATATTTCTGCGTATCAAGAACCATAAAACATGTACGGGTCCAAGGTAACAATAATAAAGCAACCAAAATCGTTTCTTATCGAGTTTAGGTACATTTATGAAACACGCAGGCCAGAATTGTCCAGAACATATCCTAAACTAGCCAAACCTAACTTAACCTAACCTAACCTAACCTAACCTAACCTAACTGAGAATAGACCAGAACCTAAGCTAAGCTAAGCTAAGCTAGCCTGACCTGACCTGACCTGACCTGACCTGACCTGACCTAACCTAACCTAACCTAACCTAACCTAACCTAACCTAACCTAACCTAACCTAACCTAACCTAACCTAACCTAACCTAACCTAACCTAACCTAACCTAACCTTACCTGAGAATAGACCAGAACCTAAGCTTAGCTAAGCTGACCTACCCTACCCTAACCTAACCTAACTAACCTAACCTAACCTAACCTAACCTAACCTAACCTAACCTAACCTAACCTAACCTAACCTAACCTAACCTAACCTAACCTAACCTCCCCTCCCCACCCTATATCCCCTTCAACCCAGCATCTCATTGGCATCCATGTTCCATGCCATATATAGGTGCCATATAGTGAGCTTTTATTTAGCTGCTATGTTCTCATTTTGCTTTACATTCCTCACCCAATTCCCCTGCAACCCATGGTCCCGTTGGCGTCGAGGATCAAATTTCATGGATTCTTGCTACCTTGTCCCGGTACATTTTTATGGTTCGCAGTAATGTGACCCGAGCAGTAATGGCGCCGGTGTCGCGGGTGCTGTGTGTGTGCGGCGCTCGGGAGCTCGCCATCGTAATTATAAAAAAATTGAAGCTAAGATCATTAATCTACCTGTTTTGTGACTATTTACGATATGTCCTGCCTTAAACATGACGAATGGTTCACTTTGGTCCCGTACATTTTGTACAGTTCTTGGCACGCAGAAATATTGTATTTACGCAACGGCCACGCGGAAACGGCGCTGGGGAGTCCAGGCGGTGCGGTGCGCGCGGCGCTCGGAGGCCCGCCATCGAAGTTATTGAAATTCGAAGGTAGGAGCATGATTCTACCTGTTGTGAGATTATTTATGATATGTCATGCCTTAAACATGACGAATGGTGTACAATGATTTTTTCTAATGTTAGGTAGGAAAGTACACCCTGACCCCCAAATTACTGGCCCTATGTGTTGAAGTTGGTGGCAATCATGCACCAGAATATGCACTTTATTTATGATGGATGTGCACATAGATTTTGGCTATGGTGCCGTTGCCATGCTGGTCATGTTCAATATAACCCACAGCTATGCTCCAGAGCTTAGTTTGGAAGTTGATTGCCCATTTCTATCACTCTCATTTTACTGCTGTCTTCTGTAAGATGCATTGAACTCACCTGGTGTCAAAGAAAGGTTGCAAGGTGAATGATGAAAATGTATTGCCCATGAGAACACCACTCAGTACAGTATACCACATCACACTCTTCAGTGATCATGGATGGGCTAATTGCTTTTGACTATCATCCTGGTCTGGTGTATTAGTATGTACATAATGCTTTGGCCAGTTAACTCTGTCCACTGTTGAGGTGTTATTGAGTCTCAAGAGGGTCTGGATGACATTTTAGTTCAGGCATGCACATGTCACAAATCAAATTCTCTACTTATGTAATACTGGAATCAAGAACTTTACCAACTAAATGGACTGGAAAACTCCTCCTGTTCTTCCAGATTATTTTCAAATTGTAAAGAAAAGACTTTGTGCTATACAACATTTGGCTAACAATCATCCAGAAAGGGCTTCTGGTCCTTTTCGGTCCTCACCAACTTGCTTAGTTGATAGTATACTAGCCTCACAACCAGATGACCCTGGTTTGAATCCTAATCCTAATTCCAATCCTTTGAATCCAGAAGACCCTGGTTTGCATTTAAGTTGTGATATTATATATACATATATATATATATATATATATATATATATATATGGGGGGCTAAAAGCCAGGCATTTTTATTGTTTATTGGGGTTTTTGAGCACACTGACTTCTGTGGCCATTTGGTGGCCAAAAGCCAAACATCACCAGTCCTTCTCAAGGCTCCATAACATGTGGTCATGCCTGGATAGCTCACTGACTGAAATGTTTATATATATATATATATATATATATATATATATATATATATATATATATTATCACATTACATGAGGATAATGTCCAATAACTTTTTCATGATACTTACACCTTGTCTTTATTGTTTCATAAACTTTGCTCTTCAGTGTTGCTCTTTGTTCAAAACAGAGAAGTTGGTTAGAGAAGTGATATGTCAGTTTCAGACTGGGCTGAGATTATGAATGACATGCATTGCACCTCTCACTGGAATTGTATTATGCTCCTGTTAAAGAACTGAACTTCACTTGTGGAATGGACAATTAAAAAGTGAAAGATGATTTGAAATGCAAAATTTTGCATAACCATGCAACAAGTTGTGACTGCTCACCTGTAGATGGAAGGACATCTCAGGCCCTGCATGATCAGCTAACCAAAATACAGTTCTTTAAATAGACATGAGCACCATGTGATAAATACAGTCTATGTTCCCTCAAACTGAAATCATTATCATTATTATCCTGAAATAGACACTTTGGGAAAATGGCATGAATTCAGGCAGACCCATGTAGGAACTCAAATGCTAATGTTGCATGCATGACATTGATATTTCTGGATCACATAGCCATACTGCAAATTCACAGCACTAATTTTGATGTTTTAGGCCAAATGTTTCATCAAGTGTCATGAAGTTTTAGAATGCTTGCTGTGTTAAGTTGCCTGACCAAGGTCACAACATGATGACTTGAAAAATATGTGACCTTTTGATGATGCTATGCTTGTCAAACATTTTCTCTATGGCTTTTAAATTGTCCTAAGGGATGAAAGGCTTCTGCTCAACCCCTTGTTTGTAAATAGTTTTTGCGTTTAAGAAGCTTTCCCTTTCAACACTAAACCACTGCTAAGCCATCTGAAATATTTCTGATCAAAAGTTTATTAAGAGCATATCTGAGTGAAGGATTGCATGTTAGTACCTTTTGTCATTTACAGCCTAAGATCACTTTGTCAAACTTGAAATGAAGTGAAAGTTTCTTGAAGTGGAAATGCATTTTGTGTTATTGCATGGCATGCAACACACAATTTTCTACTGCTCCATTGTTTTCCAAGGAAGTGCAAGGTATCAAAAGATATGGTCAATCATTGATATGATGATTTCACCTCTCAGGACTGCCCCACCTCATCACCTGTGGTTTCTATAACCAGGGTGACATTCTTGCACAGCTGCATTTAGAGCATAATGCATCTCTAGCATGCATTTGCATAAAACAAGAAAGATAGGTGTGCTATTTTACTCCATTGATTATGTAGTTACTGTTTTATTTTTAAATGTTGGTCATGTAGCATCTGCGGTGAACTGCCAGCAGAACTTGTTTCACAGCCAGTGAAACAACTTCTTAGAACAGAAATATAAATATCTTCTTGGTTCTTGAAACAGATAGAATGGGGTTCTTCAGGCATTTGGAACAGCAACCTACCGGCACGCAAACACGTATGACGAGGGCGGGGCACGCAAACACGTATAACGATGGGCTATCGCCAACTGATATCCGTGAAAGCAACAAGCGATTCAACTGCTGCACTTAAAACAGGTTTACAAACTATTTTTGTTTCCCATCACCCACCTACGTCCCTGATAGTCAGCATGTCACACTCGATTCTCGTCGCATTCCGACAGCCAGAGCTCGGGAGGGCCAGGTAATCCCACGAATGGTGTTCAGTGAATCCGAAGACAGCGCAAACACAAATCGTCCATAGGAACTCCGTCGCTCGGCGAAGAAAGCCGGCAACCACTTGTAATACCTCATTTGTTATCACAATTGTGACATCATCTCGCAGTCATGTCGACTCACACATTCGTTGACTGGCTACATTTACGTTTGACACGTGTTTCAGAGTCAACTGCTCCTTCTACTTCAAGATCGGTGCGTGCCGCCATGGCGAACGCTGCTCCCGGATGCACAACAAGCCCACCTTCAGCCAGACGATCGTGCTGCAGAACCTGTACGTGAACCCGCAGAACTCGGCCAAGTCGGCCGACGGCAGCCACCTGGCCAACATCTCGGACGAGGAGATGCAGGAGCACTTTGACAATTTCTTCGAGGACGTGTTTGTCGAGTGCGAGACCAAGGTGAGCTCACCGGATCTTGTTATGTCCTTGATTGCTGGTACCCCAGGATGGGAAAAAGTTGCAGTCTTGGGACACGTGTGCCCACTGTGGTTACAAGCGCCGCGACTGGTCCCACCCGTTGGTCGTGATCTTGTGAACGTGAAGCGTGGTGCAGCTCCCCGTGGTCTCAGTCTCCCAGGCTCCGTGCGTGGCTCAAACAGTATCGCTCCCTCTTCCTTTGCTCCCAATGTCATATGTTGTTAAACAGCATAGAGGTCAGATCGAGCGGCAGTGCGACGGTGGGCGTCGCGCACCGTTCGGCATCACGAGCGCACTAGCTAATGAGAGTCCCTCCGCAGTTCGGCGAGATCGAAGAGATGAATGTCTGCGACAACCTGGGCGACCACCTCGTCGGCAACGTGTACATCAAGTTCCGGCGCGAGGAAGACGCCGACAAGGCAGTGCTGGACCTGAACAACCGCTGGTTCGGCGGCCAGCCAGTGCACGCCGAGCTTAGTCCGGTCACCGACTTCCGCGAGGCCTGCTGCCGCCAGTACGAAGTCGGGTGAGTAAGCGGACGGCAGGCCACGGTCGGCTCGGCCGCGCCGGTGACCATATCTGCACTTGTCCCTTGGTGGTGCGGTGGAGTTGGAGATGTTTTTATGTAATCCGAGCATTTCGAATACACGGCTCTGTGGGATCAGAGCTTTTGCTAAGCAGTTCTTGCTGTGTGAACTCTGACCCCTATCATTCGATCGCGTAATGTCATGTCAACGGCGGAGCTTGGTGGCAAGAGTTTTACATGCTGCAATGCTCAGCCTGGTCCGTCCTGCCCTCTGACGTCACCTGACCTTTAGTGCGTCCACTGCCATCGGCCACTGGCCATACCTATCAAGGGCAAATACTAGTGCCCTGAAACGACTCTAACCCAGGGCGCCACGGGTGGGTGAATCTGAAGGCACGTGCTCTAATCAACTGGGCCTCCGGCACGGACAAAGTTGGTGACATGTGGGCTAACGCGCGGTTGTTTGGGCGGGCACGTGACGACGCGTATTCAGTTGAAGGAAAACCATGTGGTGGGAGAGGCAGGCCCGCTGCACTGAACCATCTGTGGGGGATCAAATAGTGTTTTACAAAACTGGATGGCGGGCCTGCGCATTGCAGTTATTACCTAGTGGTGGGCAGCGAAGGGTTACTTTGCTTCGACCACGTGCGTGCCACCGCTGACCACCCGCTTCCGTTACAGGGAGTGCACGCGCTCCGGGTTCTGCAACTTCATGCACCTGAAGCCAATCTCGCGCGAGCTGCGCAAGGAGCTGTACGGCCGGCGCGGCCCGGCCTATGTGGGCGGCGGGCGGCGCCGCTCGCGCTCGCGGGACCGCGGCGGCGGCGGCGGCCGCGGTGGTGGCGGCGGCGGCCGCCGTCGGCGCTCGCGCTCCCGTGAGCGGCGCCGCTCACGCAGCCGTGAGCGTGGCGGCGGCGGCGGTGGCGGAGGAGGAGGCGGCGGCGGCCGGGAGGGCCGAGAGGGGCGCGCCGGCCGCTACTGAGACGCGCGCCGTCGTCTCGCCGCGGCCGTCGGGCGTGCTGTGGCGGGCGGGCGGGACCGCGCCGGCGATCTCCAGCGCCGCCCTGTGCCCGCCGGCGCGCCGTCCCCCGGCCTTGGGGGCGCAGAGTGTCCGTACGTGTGTGCTGTCGCGCTCTCTCCGCAAGCGACGGGCGTGCTGTGTCCGGCTTTCGCACGTGTCGTGTCGTCACTGTGTGACCCATTGGTTCATTGGGCTCCTATTCGATCCGTGTTTCATGTGGAACTGACTAAACGGCTCTTGAGACCTGGCTGTTCCATCGCAGGCACGCGCCGCTTCTCTGGGCACTATGTTCTGTACGGACAGTAGCAAGTCGATGACTATACGTAGCCTGTGGGAGTCGAGGACATTTTCATCCAGCAAATACAGAACACTTAACTATGTACCATGTACCTGTGTATCATGCATGTATTTGCGGTAAAGCCCATGGTTATTCTTCGGCGGTAGGTATGTGGCCACGACTCCGCTGCTCGCGACCCACAAGCGCAATAAGCCGCGCCCCAGCAGACCGGGCACAGGCCCGTACTGCTGCTGTCCGCCTCAGGCCTGCGGTCCAGCAGAAGCCGCGGCACCAGAGCACGCAGACGAACGTCAAGTTCGCGCCGGGCTCCCCGCCCGTCGAGCCTGAGTTTGACCTTGAAGGGCGACCTGAAGAGGTCAGGACTTGTTAACGGACGCTAGTTCTTGGGCTTGTAAATATTTTGGTGCTTGCAAATGTTAAATTCCTGATCATCTTTTGATGGTATGAGGTTCCCGGTCCCTAACCTTAAAGGCCACATGATATTGCAGAAACACGCCATTTTCGATGTTTCTGTGCTATGCTTAGTCATATGACATATTTTCAAGGAAATCTGAGCTGATCGCGAAATATTGCCAAGTTCCCGGACATCTCGCCTCATACATGTAGAGCTTTATACGATACTAGGCTAACGGCTAAGTGTAGTCACGTTGTTGGAGCGTGACACCGTGGTGTGGCATAAATGCATACAAAAATATAGGAGACCTGCGTGCATAAATGGGTGAGAAGGCGTGCGCAGGTGATTGCATCCTAACTACGATCCGTGAAGCCGAATGACGCAACGCGCGACCTAAGTAAACAGCAAAAGAGGACAGCTCAGATTGTTCATGATAGGCAGATGCGTGCCTGCCTGCAGAATGGCAATAAACGTTCAGTTAAGAAAAAAAACCACTTATTTCGATGTTTGAAAAATGGTTTTATTCACTCACATATAAAGAGCGCAAGGGTGACGACAAGGTTATCACGACTAACGACTGGTCCAAACAACATCATCACTTGAAGTCTTAACTTTTGACAAAACAGGACAATCCAAGTTATGAAAAGGACCATGTAATAATCATGAGTAACGCATGTGGCGCAGACCCAAACTACTGTTCCTCCCTTTAAAATTGCGGGAGACCAACAGGCGAATGACAGCAGACTTCTTATACTTAATTCTAACATGAGTGAAGATAAGTCACTCGGCGCAGCGTTAATGCGCGTTCCACAGAGAACGCACGCGGTGAGCCTCGGAGATGGGTCTCGCAGCCGGGGGACGCCGGCGCCGATCATACCGGATCAGCACCGGCCGCAGCGGCGCCATCAGGGAGGGCCGGCGAGGCCTGATCGGGGCTCCGCAAACCGGACCACAACGGCGCTATCAGGGAGGGCCGGCGGAGCGCGAACTCTGATGCATGACATAGCTGCATGCCCATTGATCAACAAAATGCGCCTAAACACACACACACACACACACACACACACACACACACACACACACACACACACACACACACACACACACACACACACACACACACACACACACACACACACACACACACACGCACACACACACACACACACACACACGTACGCACGCACGCACGCACGCACGCACACACGCACGCACGCACACACGCACGCACACACACACACACACACACACCTTTGCCACGCGCACACACACACACCTTAGCCACGAACGCACACACCTGTCATTTCCCGAATGATATCGATGAGTCGGATAGGCGAGTGTGTGCCAGCGAGAAACAGCTTTAGGCGCATACCTAGAATAGCAGTCCCCCCGGTCGTCGGGCCTGTTTTGCGGAGAAAGTTCCTGAAGTACGCCCTGAGCTTGCCCCCCCCTCCCCCCCACTGTTTGAAACGTTCCTACGCCTATGTCTGCCTGGGATGGCATGCCCCTTGTTGATCTACCATGAGCCTCGGTTTTTCCACCCGTTTTTCCCATAAACTGGTTACTTTTGGACTAGTAGTCTCTTAGCATGAGTTTTGAACAGCACATCAAACTTGCGTAAATGTTCCAGCAGCTGTCTACGGGGTTGCTTCGCTCCCCCAAACACCAAAGCTTTGCGCGCCTCTGCATGCCTCAGACGCTGGGATTTCCAGGCTGTAGCCCGCGGCACGCATAATTGCGCCATCTGACCAGTTGGGCGGCGGCAGGAGCGGCGGTCGGGCCGTGGAAGGCGTTTGTCTTCAACCACAAATGGGTGTCGGTGTGCGCACACAGCTCGGGGCTGTGCTCCAGCTTGTGCTGACGGCGTGGCTGGCGGACGCGGTTATCACAGCCAACAGCAACCGGCCGGACCTTCTGCCGACGGACTGCGGCCGCCGCCTTGTGCGGCCGGACGAGGCGCTCCGACCGTTCATAGTCGGGCCGGGCAACACCTCCGCCTATTATGGCCAGTACCCGTGGCAGGCGCGGCTGGTCATGTACGATGCCAATGTGAAGGGCTACGTACATCACTGCGGAGGCATCATTGTCTCGCAGGAGCACGTGGTGACGGCCGCCCACTGCGTAGTTGAGGTGGTCCCCCGTCGGCTGCTGGTGCGTGTCGGAGACCTCCGATTTGATGACCGCGAGCTGTTCGAGCAGGAATTTGCCGTCGTCAGCTACCACGTGCACAGCCGGTTCGGCACGGGTACTGGCTTGCGGCACGACGTGGCCCTGCTGCGGCTACGTCGCCGCGTCGGACCCGGCATCGAGTTCGGCCGCTACGTGCAGCCGGCCTGCCTGCCGGCAGACGACACCGAGTACGAGACGTTTCTGCCATGCGAGGTGTCCGGCTGGGGCCGCATCGCGGATCTCGCGCCCATCTCGGACGTGCTGCGCGGCGTCTCGGTGCCGCTGGTGTCGGACGCCTTCTGCGGCGCGCCCGAGATCTACCAGGACCGCTTCCTGCCCGGCGGCATGTTTTGCTCGGGCCCGACGGGTGGCGGCGCCGACAGCTGCGAGGGCGATTCGGGCGGCCCGCTGGTGTGTGGCGACGCGGACAGCGGCCGCTTCGTGGCGTATGGCGTCGTGTCGTCTGGCGACCCGCTTGGCTGCGGCCAACGACCCGGCCTCTACACTAAGCTGTCGGCCTACGTTGACTGGCTGTTGCGCCGCCTTGAGCTGGACCAGGAGGAGGATGCGGCCCCGAGTACGGCAGTGACCGCAGCTCCAGATGCCGCCGACCGGCCTCAGGGCGACCTAGGCCGGCCTTGTTCCACCCCGGACGGCGCAGCCGGCTTTTGCATTCACTTACGGGACTGCCCCGACCTACTGCCGGCGGGCGGAGAGGACCTGTTAGTGACACTAAACCGGCCTCTCTGCGGCCTAGACGCGGCCACCAGTCCGCTGCTCTGCTGCCCCGGACGGGAACCGCGCCGCGCCGACTGCGGACGGACCAGCTTTTCGCCACCGGCGCAGCTGGGCGCCGCGTTCGCCAAAAACGCCGCCAACTTTCCCTGGATGGCGGCCATCTCCCAAAGGCGAAAGGGCGGCAGAGGTACGCCGTTTTGCGGGGGCGCCGTGATCTCTGACCGATGGGTGTTGACGGGGGCGACCTGCGCTCACGATGACCGCCAGCTGAGTGTGCGTCTCGGTGACCTCGACTTGCAGGACACCTCTGACGACAATCCCAACGCTCCTTCGTTCGAACTGGACATCATAAAAGTTGTGCGACATCCACAGTTTGCGCCGCCGGAAAACGGAGCTCAAGACATTGCCCTGCTGAAGACTGCGTCAAAAATTTCGTTCTCCAGCACTGTGGGCCCTCTTTGTCTGCCAGACCCATCCCTCACATCGACTGTACCAGTGGGAAATGACGTCATCTTCGCGGGCTGGGGCGCGCCCAGATTTGGTGCCAACACTGCGCTCTTGTCTCTGAAATGGGCCAGGGTGAGGGTGGTGGATTTCGGAGGTTGTAGAAGCAATTACACGAAGATCCGGTCACACACCCAGTATTTTGATGCAGGCTCGTTTTGTACGAAGTTTATTGAATCAACACCGGAGTTCTCGTGTGCCATTAATGGAGGCGACCAGGGTTCTGTGTTAATGGAAGTTGTCAGGGAGGGTGACATCACGAGGTGGTATGCAGTGGGGTTGGCTGTTGCTGGAGTCGGTTGTGGTAGCGAAGAGTTTCCGGATGTCAACATCGCGCTTGGACCATCAGTGGACTGGATCCAATCGGTCATCGCGACGGCATGATAAATGTTACCTTAAGTTGCCTGTGCCATTCATCAGTGCAACCGCACACCCACACCTCCGTTTTTTTCAGCAGATTTCTAGTGCGGTGCGTCGTATGAACTGAGCTCTGTTAAGCCGGCTTTTATGTGAGCAGACGCCCAATACATGTCAGCAGTCAGCAACACTATGTCAGCCGCAAACGCTATCTCGACCATAACGGATCCTCCTGGTGGGGACCTAGCATATCCGCGACTGGCGATCGGGAGGCGGGAGCTGGACGCCCGCCGCAAGGCTGATGAGCAGAGCACAGACACACCACTGCCAGAGTACCTGACGGTCCAGCGTTATAAGCTAGACTTCGGCGGGAAGCCAGGCCAATTAGAAGGCGTTGCCGCTGAACTAGATCCGCTGAACTAGATCCCGTTCCAGGGCTAACAGGCGTTCTCCCAGCTAGTGTTCCCGAAATCTCTGAATATGCTCTCATGACTCCAGTGAAGTGCCCTACACCAACGGAAAAGAAAGCAGTCAATGGTTCGCGACCAAAGAGCTTACACTTTGCGTGAGAGGCGGGGCCTCAGCGCCGCTGTTACGGTAGCCTGCACCTACTAAAAAGTTATAAAAAGGCGTCATCCGTTGAAACCTGCGCGGAATAGCAGAGGATGAAGCCGTAAAGGGGTTGGAGAGACACGGCGTCACTGGTCACAAATTTAATGTTTGCATATATACATACATGATTTCACTAAGAATTAAGCAAGAAACACGTTTGTATAAGCTGTATGCTGTTAAGCCGCATTGCATTAACATGTGTTGCAATGCTGAAGAACATCATATCTAGGAAAAATTGCCATTTAGTCTGTCCCAGTGAGACAAAATATGGACCTAGGTACAACAAACCGGCTACCAATCGCGAGATCTCGATGGAGTCAATCCGCTGGATTTTCGGCAGGACTGTTTCTTTCGTAATTTGGTGAAGACAGAGTATATCGATCACGTCCCATCTTCATGAAACCCAGCGAATTTTGGGCGAATTTTCAACGACGTAATACGATGGTTGTCCGAATAATTTCCTGCCTTAAAAAGCCGTTGCATACAAATATATCGGTAATCTTATAAAAACTGGTGGTTCAGCTAGATCGTACGCAGCTGCATAATCAGGCAGCCCTTCCCAGCTGGGAACGCTGGCTCCAGGTTCATCACTGTAAGCAGACATAGTGCCAAGTCGAAAACTGTTACGAGCCGACCAGCCAATCTCACCATCCAACCATCAATGCCCTGGGCGGACGAACCTCCCCACATGCGGAGTCATTACAAACGGTTAGTAACTGAAATGATATAAGCTTGTAAACAGCGAAACAATCGAGTCGAGTCGCCCATGTCGGACTTCTGACACAAGCGCTGTCAATAAGTCCAAGCACGACCTCTTGGGCTCGTGTTCCTTGAAAACCAAGCAGCCCACAGAAACTGCATCCAATCAGTTGCATGCAACCGCCAGAAACTTCGACCAAGGCTATAGAAGATGACTGGCGGTGTGCTCGGATAACACAAATTCAAGTTGTGGATTTTTGACATCATGAAGTCAGCGACCTAAAAAAAAACACTAAGAAGGTAACATTTCCTTTATATGAGCTTGGAAACTCATTCAGTAAGGACATGACAAATGCTCATGACAGTGTTTCCGATCCCGTGCAAAAGGCAATGCACACCTACCACATTTGTGGGAGCACATTTCACTGCAGTATTTTCTTCTGCGTTAGGCAGTTGATTAACTAGCTGTAAGCACTAGGCAGTTGACTCCCTCGTCTGGTAGGGGGAAGGGGGGTCGATGAGACCCCCAAAGGTTTTCTAAGGATAGTTCTTTAGCACGCCGTGGATCCGTGCCTAATTTTTTCAGCCCCTGGGGCATTCATTATGCATGCGTTAATACCAAAAACGTGTCTCTAGCTTCTCTGTTTTTTTAGCAGCGACGGTTTTTTTAACAATACTGCACGGTAATCTGCGACTGGTGCGGGTAAGATTGAACTGGAATGAAGTTTTTTCAGGCATTGGTCTTTGACCTCGCCTTGTGGGGTGAATTATTGACAGCAACATAATGCTTATTACCAGTCGTGCGACCTCGTTGAGATCAATCCAACGCTTCTTCTCCGCGAGGTCCTATCGCTTGTAGCTTGGGAACGACAGGGTAAAGGGATGCAGTCGCATCTACCGCACTCCTCTTTTAATAAACACTCAATATGCATTTTTAAATTTCATTTGCTTCTAACGCTGGGCCTAAGCCGGAATTATTTGGAGCAGGTATGGTGTAGGTAAAGGTGGTCAGGTACATATATATTCGCATTAGTATGACGGACCCGTTCGTCCGTCACCTGTTCACGTCACCTGCTTCAGGTCAACCAGGCATCTATCACGTCATAATAACGCCACTGAAATCCTGCCACGCCATAAGCCATGGAGCAATAATATCATTGTCGAGTCATTCAAATCTGCCATTGGTAAGCATGATTCCCAGACATAACAGCCGGCAATTGGCAACCAATCCATTTTGTGCAGGGTGCGATGATATGATCAAATAAAAACAGTTTAGGCAGCATATTTACTAAACGGAGATATTATGTTTCCTGGAGTAGCATTTCCAACTTAAAAGTGTACCAATGGTTTTAAGAGAGCATATTTCATCACATTTGACGCTTGCTTCGTTACGTTCATCCGTGTCGCACTCTCTTTAGTGGAAGTTGGCTGTGCAGATTGGCAGCGCAGAACTCCGCCAGTGTTTGCGGGCTTGATAGAGGCATCCGTCTCCAAGGTTATGCGATTGTACCTGCTTTCTGCACTCATTTTTTTGACGACGTATGGGACAGTCCTTCCGTCCCCCGTTAAGCTTACAATAAAGGCTCAATTAAGATGTTGAATGTTAATGACTTCAACGATAATTATTCGGTTGAATCTAGGGCGACGTATCACTAAATGCTTAGGAATCCTGCCGAACGCTTCCGCAGCGGTGATTTGCACAGACACTGCGTCAAATTTTAGATGCTTTTAGTTGTGCAGAGAACACGGTGAGCTGGAAATGGTTTTGAGCGAAGATGGGAAGTGAAAAATTTGTCCGCAAAAAGATTTATCGGAAGTGAAAACCAAATAAGAAAAGACGAAACGGTGAATGAGATGTACCGGCTAATAAAAGCATGAATACTAATTCGAACTGGAATTAATCCGATAAACATCACAAGTCATTTTCTGACCTCCACGCCGTTGTAAGGACTTGTTAACAAGATTTCCAAACTTAACTATAAATCATATTTTGGAGCGAAGCAACAAATGCCACCAAGCACATACTTTGGCGTCTTTCAGAGGCAGGCTTCTGTCTGTCTTCCTCTCAAAAAATAAAAAATTAGCATTTTTGGCATGATTTGCAGACATACTGGATGTAATAAGCGACCATCAAAAAACAAGAGTCCTTGATATCCTCCAAACTACAGGATTGGTTTGTGAGCTATCAAAGAAGACCTTGGAACCTAAGATATCAGTGGTTTTGAAGCACGCAATTTTGCTTCCAGAATGACTGCTGTGTTTATCACCAGTGTTTTCAAATATTTGTCGTACATGCACTGGACTATTTACTACAACCTTGATAGGTCGCTATGATCGATGTGTTTCGCCCGAACCTTCAATGAAGGTTAAGTAAAAAAAAACTTTTTTGTTTAAGACACATCATTTCCGTCCAAAAATGATGTATGAAAGGATAATTTTACTTCATTAAGCATCAAAGCTCGTATGGCTTTGATTTGACATCACGAAACTACGTTGTGAACCAAAAACTGTGCGCTAAATATTTTGACATTCAAAAGGTTGGATAAAGGTAATTGCCTTCCTAAAAACCTTGCCTTTATTTGCTATAAATTGTTCACTTTTTGCCTGTTTATGGGCCGTGAGTTGACAGATTCCGTTTCAACTCACATTTGTAAAACATGAAGACGTCTTTGAATGCAAAGTATTTTAAGCTGACCAGTTTGCTGACTAAAGCCAGAGCCTATGAATTTGGGCTGATATGCCAAGATCCGAAGTTATGCCGTCGTACGCACATGTCGGGATAATATGCGTTGATACTTACCGCGTCCAATAAGCCGAATTTTATGACTCCCTAGCAACGTTTAGTTCTTCGAACACATTTCGAAGGCAATTTTCGGGGAAAGTTGAGTCACGCCTGATATGGAGCTGGTTCTACACTCGCCCAACGGCGTCATTATTCTAAGGGTTGGGTACACTGGTGTCGAAAACTTGCCGTTAGATTTGGTAACAATTGTTTACCATTTCAACTAACGTGTAACAAGTGACGGACAAACTCACTGCAGTGACAACAGATTCTTACTTGCATGTGCTTGCAGGTTTTCATGGCCCCAAATCCATCTTTGGGATGTTGGGGCACGAACCCCATTCCGACCCGGCTGGTTTTGTGCAGTGTAAGCTTGCGAGTTGTAAACTTTGCTTGTGACGAACATCATGTGCCACCATCGCGTCTATGATCACCGCAATTCTGGGAGCACGTCACTAGCAGAGGTCATACCATATGTGCCCTTCAGAAACATCAATGATACGCCTTCCCTAACGATAAACGCATGCGAAACTTTCAACGGTGCGTGGTAACAGACAAGTCTGTATTGACGCATTTATTTCGTATGCAAAGAACTCGTTTTGAAACATCACAGGTCGTCTGCTCCTATTGGCGACGTGACCAAGGAGGAGGCCATGGCCTCATGGCCTCATGGCATGTCTCTAGATCCACGCCTGGGCGTCGGCAAGTCTCTGCTGCCAGCCGCAGCAAGTCTCCTCCAGAGGGGCTCTATCTCACTGACGGGCGCGCACCGTCCCATCGCATCAATCGGCCGGCCAGCACCGACGAACGTCTCAGGAGGACTGGCGAGATGTAATACCTGGCTATGCCATCTGTTCATCATGCCATCCATCAAAAGTGATGCGCATATATATATATATATATATATATATATATATATAAGCGTTCATATGTATGTAAAGCATGCTTTGTTGAAAATCACAGCAAGATAAGGAATGCCGATTTTTTGCGCTCTCTTCGGAATAATATCATAAAAAGATTGACATTACTGAGCTTGGGTCATTACAAGCAAGGCTCACATTTCGACGGCTAAATATTGCACCCACAT